ATGGGGGTGCCCCAGTGTGCGGGGAGGACCCTGGAGCAGGCCAGCCCAGCCCCACCTCACAGCAGGCTGCCCCTGCCCACTTGGTGGGCGCCGTCCCCTCTGCTCCCAGCCACTTGCCTGCCCCAGCTGGCTTCTCTGCATCAGAACGTCCGCAACAGCCCTTACTGGGAAGCCCCGCGCAGAGGAAGGAGGGGCGGGGTCAGGGTTGTGAGGCTCCAGGACCCGGTGCTGGGAGCGGGGCCTTGGCTGGCTGAGCACACTCGCTGTGCTGGGCGCCTTTGGGACCCCAGTGTGCCCAATCCTGGACGTACAGCGGTGGGCCGGGCTGAGAGTCAGCCCCGGCCTCAGCTTCTCTGTCCGCACGTGAAGACACTACCTGCCGTGGTCTGGTCACCATGGAGGGAACAGTGTGTTGGAACACGGGGCCCAGTGTCCCCCAATGCAGCTCAGAGCAAAGCCGCACACAGCCCCTCCCTCTGCCAGCCGCCACTGGGCACTTCTCCTGCAGGACAGTAACCCGGCGCGGGGCGTCCCTTCCCAGCCTCATTTCACAGGCGAGCGAGTGGGCCACACAGAAGTCTGAGCACTCGCCAAATCCCCCGCGAGGAGGAGGTCGAGTCGGGATTTGAACCCAAGGAGCCTGGCCGCAGACCGGACAGGGCACGGCAGGAGCCCGTGCGGAACCGCCTCGGCCTGGGGAGCGGCTGCTTTCTGCTGGGCCCGCGTCTGAGCCTCCAAGGTGAGGCCCCTGAGTGTGACGCCCGGGGCCCCAGGTCTCCGTGGGTGGTGTGGGGGCTCACTGATGGGCAACTGTGTGACTGCTCCCCCAGGATGTCCTTGGCTGGAGACTATCTCTGGAGGTCACGGCTGCAGGCAGGCAAAGCCCCTGGGAGGTGCCAGGAGCCGGGGGCTGCCTGGTGTACCCGCGTTCAGACAATGCTCCCAGGAGCCCAAGAAGGGGCCTCCAAGGCGGCTGGGGGTAGGAGAGGGCCAGGAAGCCCACCTCTGCTTTTGCCTGGGTCGCCTCTTAGGTGTACTTGCAAGATTTCTGTGGCTAAAAGAGGACCTTGACCTTGTGCAACAGACCAGGAGCCCCAGCCTGTTGGGGACAAGTGGCCTGAGGTGGCCTATCCAGGCAGTGGTCGCGTGTGGATCTGGGACTAGCCAGGGAGGGGGGAGTGCCCACCTTGTGTTCAGTCCTGAGCCCAGAGTAGAGCCCTGGGGGGCAGTTGGCTTCTGCCCTGGGCTGGGCAGGGAGCTCTTGCCAAGGGGCTGGCCTCTGGGGCTGCCCTCCGGGACCTACCCTCACCCCGGCCTGGCCAGCCACCTCCAAGCTGCCCAAGGACTCCTTGGTGGCCCAGGGCCTGTTGGGTGTGAGGGCTCTGGCCAGGTCTGCTCAGGGGCCCCCGGGGTGTTCTGGGTGCTGGGCAGGTGGCAGAGAGGACAGTGGGGTCTGGGGAGGATGGCGGACAGCAGAGGCAGGCTGCCTTCGAGGCCTTGGCTGGCCGCCGGCCAGCGGGGCCTGAGGGTGCCTGTGTGTTGCCCTTGGTCCCCCCCCCCCCCCCCGGGTGCTTGTGCTTGCCCTGGACACTCCATGGTGCAGAATGGGCCCTGGCGTGACGGTGTCCGACGCCCACTCCCTGAGGAACCTCCAAAGCAGCCGTGCCGGCCCCAGGCTGGCCTCTCCATGCTTGTTCCTCGCCCGCTCCCCGGCCTCCCCCAGAGATGCATCCGCTTTCCTGTTCCTAAACTGCTCCTCAGACGTCTGGAGAGCTCTGGTGCAGATGATCTCCTTCCAAAGACAGGTGCTGTGGCCCCAACAAGTGCCAGGGGGTGGTGGGCTGGGGCTGTCCTGCGTGGGGAGGCCCTGGGAGGCCAGGTGTTTGCAGGCCGGGGATAGAGCCTGGTCTGGGGCGAGTGGAGGGGGCGCCTCGCCCGCTGCCCCGCAGGATGAGGAGCCCTGGCCTCATGGAGCTCCTGCCACGGGCTGGGCCTCCGTGGCGCTGGGGAGGCGGCCCCCTGCTCTGCGGGTCCTGGCACTGCCAGGGGGAGGCAGTGCCAGCCACGCTTGAGAAGCCAACAAAGTGCTAGGGCCCCGGGGGGCTTCCCAGAAAAGGTGGCCTCGGAATAGCACCCTGGGGGGCTGAGCGTGTTGAGGTGGGTGCAGAGGAGGGGGCTTGTGAGGGAGGGATGGGCGGGGTGGGCGGGGCCTGGAACCATCCTTTCTTCCAGCCGCAGGCGGCCTGGACGTGGAGGGATGTGGCCAGGGAAGCAGCGACTCCCGGGGCCAGCTGGGTCATGTGTGGGGCTCCGTGAAAAATGTGGGGTCCCTTGTCCAAAAAGCAGGACAAGCTTCTCTTTCTCCCAGCAGTGTCTCTTGACCCAGCGCGGGTGTCTTCTCTGCTGCTCGATGCCATGCTTTTTTGGGCTCGGGATGTTGGAGGGTGAGTGTCCACCCTGAGACCCAGGCTGACCCCGCTGTCCCCGCACTCGCACCGAGGCCCCCACTGAGGGGGAGGGCGGCTGCTGTTGCTGGGAGGGGGAGCTGGGCCTTCGAGCGAGCCGTGGCTCCCGGCGCCCCCGTGTTCCACGGGCCCGTTGGACTCGGAAGATGACGTGATTAAGAATTTCAAGACGGTGGCCTTGGAGCATAAGTCCCAGAGGCAGGCCCCTCTGAGCGTGGGGCCCTGTGCCACCGTCCTGGCGGCAGGTGTGTGCAGCTGGCTTGGCGACTCCTCAGGCACGTTGGGCCTGGGGGCACTGAGGCCCAGAGGTCACCCAAGGGCTTGAGAGAGGAGAGAGGCACTGCCTGCCCGACAGGGGGGGAACTGTCCCGGCCTCCTCCCCATGGGGCTAATGCATTTGGCACGTGGCGTGGGCTTCAAAGAGGCTTCCTGCCCCTGCTGAATTCTTCACTGTCCCCTGCCCAAATTCCCAAGGGTCTTCAGGACCCCCAGAGGCCTTCCCTCGCTGCTGGTGTCTCCTCTGAGACCCTCAGGCCACGTGGCCAAGGAAGCAGCCACGGCTCCCTGTGGGCCTTGAGTCTGGGGGCCCCTGGAGCTGTGGGGGGTGGGGTGTGGCCAGCTCCCTGCCTGGAGGGGCGCGCACCTGCAGGAGGCCACGCAGCGGGGGTGGCTGGCCCTCGGCCCGTCTCCCAGGCAGGTGGCCGGGCGCAGCCTGTGCTGTCCTGTGAGCCAGGAGAGGACGCAGCGGGTGTTTGTGTTGGTCGGCTGTGGGGTCCCTCCCAGGGGAAACCGTTAGTCACCTGGCGCTGGCTGGACGTGGGAGCCAGGGGAGCTTGGGGACTGTGCCAGGGTGAGCAGGGCTGGCGGTCACCGGAGGGGAGGGCAACAGGGTGGCCTGGGCTTCCCGAGTGAGGGCAATCCAATCACACGAGAGGGACCGTGCGCGTGTGCACGTATGTGTACGCGGGTGCGTGCGGGTATGCCGGGTGCCAGGTGCCATCACGTCTGTGCTTCAGCACACCGACCCCAGGGGGCAGTGTGGACCCGGGTTAGGGTTCGGATTAGGGTTCGTGTTGGTTCCAGGCCGCAGGCGGCCGTGTGACTAGGAGCAGCCACCGTGTGCCCTGCGGCCGCAGCAGGAACTGTGCTGAACAAGAAAGGAGCATGCGCCTGCAGAGACCCGGAAGACGAGGGGACCCCACACCTGGAGTGCAGGCGTCCCGGATTTGCCACCTACTAGACGTGTGGCCTTGGGCAGGTCACTCGGGCCCTGAGCCTCCGTCCCCACCTGTGAAATGGGGACGACGAAGATGCTGACTCGGCAGCTCTTGGTACGTGGGACAAGCGCAGCAAACTGTCATAGGCACCGACGTTTTTACGCTATTATGGGTTCCGGCCTTTCTGGACAGTGGTCAGACAAGGAGCAGAACTTTCCCAAGGAGGCAGCTGGAGGAGCTTGCCACTGTCCTTTCAGGCCTGCTGGAGGGGACAGAGGGAAGGGGGAGGGTTCTCCAGGCACCGCCTTGGGCGCATGATGTCTGCTGCATGGAGGCAGGGCCTGGGGCAGGGGGCACAGGTGAGCACCCCCTGCTCAAAACACCCACCACATTTGGAGGGGCCTCTGTTTCCCGGGGTGCGGGCTCTGGGGAGGCTGGCGCGCAGGGTGGGCACCTGGCCTGCTTCAGGGGCAGGCAGGCAAAGTCTGGGGGCTTCTGGGGCTTCCCAGAGGGGCTCCATCCACGCTGCCCACTCCCTGCCCGCTCTGTGCCCTGACTCAGCAGGACAGAGGCCCAGAGCCCCAGACCTGGCCTGCCAGGAGCTGCCCAGCTGGCCCGGGCCCAGCCAGGCCGCCGTGCCCGGCCAAGCTGGTGCTGAACATCTGCAGAGAGTTCCCTCCGCCTCTCTCGCTGGCCCTGGCCATTCTGGTTGTCTGGTCAGCAGCCCACGGGCGCCTCTGTCCCTCCTTGGAGCCCCTCGCTGCGCCCTCACTAGGTCTGCCTCAGTCTCCCCACCTGCTCAGGCCCCTGCTCCTCAGCAGCTTGCCCAGCTGGTGACCCGGGCACGTGGTCTCCCGTGGGACTTGGTCTTTCCCTTACAACCTGGAGCCTTCAGACTGGCCCTCCCGCCTCCCAGACCCCGTTCTCGGGAGCGTCAGGGCTTGGGCCCCACTATGGGGCTTGGCTCTAACACCGCCAACCGCCCCTGTGACCTCAGGCTAGCAGTGGCTCCGTCTGGACACCCGACATGTGGTCCCCAGTTCTGGACCCGGGAAGGCCGGCCTCCCTGCTCGCCGCTCCTGGGCCGCCGCCGCTGCCGGCAGCCAGCAGGCAGCTGGGCCGGCCTGGCCGGGCTCCAGAGGCGCGGAGCGGGTTAAAGTGTGCGCCAGGCCGGCGGCGGGCGGGGGAGCGGCCTGGAGGGAAGTGTGAGTTCCTCCCCGTCTGCCTGACAGCTATAAAGGCGGCCGCCGGCCCAGAGCCGCCACTGGGCTGCGCCCCTCCGGGAACCCCTCTCTTGGACGCTCTTTGAAGTGGGAGAGGGAGGAGGGGACGGGAGACAGGCAGAGCCGGCGTCTGCACTCAGCCTCCCGCGCCGCGCACCTGGCCCGCCTGCCCTCCGCAGCTCTCGGCCTTTTCTCTGGGAGGACAACCTGCTGACCCCGGGCCAGGTAGGCCACCCGTCCCAGTCCCCGTCCTGCTCACGTTGCAGCCCTCCCGGTGCGTGGGATGCAGCCCACCCAGGCCAGCTGAGTGTGGCCGGGGGCAGGAGCGCCCCGCACCCTCGGGAGACGTTACATAACAGGGGGGGCTCAAGGGGTGGGGGCGGCCGCAGAGCAGGGTGCAGGGTGGCCCCCGTCCCTCAGCCTCGGGCCCCTGAAGCTCTGCTTGCGAACGTCTCCTACCTCTGGCCCGCCGGCCGGCCGGCCGGCCGCTGCCTTTAGACCCCAGGGAGGATGGATCCCGGAGAGCGGGGCCTGGCCCCAGGCCAGCCGTGTCTGGGAGCCTTAATGAAAACCAAGTGTGAGCCCGCTGGCACCTGTCTTCAGCCTGCAGGCAGGGCCGGGCGCCCGTCCGCCAATGGGACTGTGGGGGGCTCCTCCTGGTGAGGCTGGGGGTGCAGAGGGAGAGCTGTGGAGGGTGGCCAGGGGGGCAGGGGCAGGCGGGGGGGTCTCAAGCACTCGGCTCCTGGCCCCGGGGCTCACTGCCGCATCGTCTGGGTGCGAGGGGTCTTGGCGCGGCTCCCGGAAACCCGCAGGTGCTTGACCTGCCAGGAAACTCAGCTGGATGAGGCTGCTGAGAAGGGAGGGGCAGACCTGGAGTTGGCTTCAGAGCTGGCAGGGGTGAGGGGTGACCTCTATATCTTCTTCCTCTGGGATTAGCTGGTGTGGGGACGCATCCCTGAGTTTGCTGGTTGGCAGCCTTGCTGGGTGGCTTCAGGCAAGTGGGCTTCTCTCTCTGGGCTCCAGAATTTGGGTCCAGGCTTGGTGGTTTCTAATGCCCCTTCTCTAGCCCCTGGCAAGTGACACTCAGGACCTGAGACAAACCCCAGACAGAGGCCACGAGTGGTCTCTGTCCTTCCCTCCGAAAGGGCAGGGTCCATGCTCAGAGGCTGGAAGCCCCCCTTGTTTGGGCTGGACCTGACTCTGGCAGGTGTTTTGAGCAGGGGGTGCCAACTTGGCAGAAGGCAGAGAGGGGCTGCCGCCCAGCCCTGGGCTGCGGACAGGCTGGCACGGGGCTCCTCCCACCCCATCCTACCTCCCAGGAGCAGGCGGCACAGGCCCAGGTGCCAGCTGCCGCTGATGCTACGCCTGAGGGTGCTCTGGGAGGGCCAGGCTGGGGCTCCCCAGGGCCCTGGGCCAGCCTCGGGTAGGGTAGCTGAGGCGGGGGGCCCTGGCACAGCCCACCCCCATGCTTTGACCCCTTTGGCCATCTCATGCAGTCGGTGGTGGGGGGTCCTTTTCCCACGAGGCCAGCAGCAGGTAAAACTCCCAAGGGGCTCCAGCCGAGCGACGGCCTTGGTGTCCCGGCTGATGGTGCCCTGTGCTTCTCACGGCAGCCTCTCCGCAGGCCTGGCCCCCGGCCCCTAAGTGGTTCCTGGTCTCGGCCGTTCTCTGAGCTCAGGCCTTCAGAGGCAACGTGCAGCAGGCCTCCTGCACGCCCTGGGATGGAGGGTGGCGCAGCCTTGGCACACACGCCACCTCTCTGTCCCAGGCCCCTGCAGACATCTCCAATCACTTGCCGAGCTCTTGCTGCTGACCCTGCATGGTGGCTCGAGGCCTGGGGCGCTGGGTGGACACCAAGGGCCCTTCCCGAAGTGCACCCTGGTCCACTGGAAGAGGAACTGGGCGGGGCCTGGGGTGACAGTGGCCTTGCTTTCCAGGATGGACGGCAGACGGCAGCATTCTCGCTGGGCCTGGTCCCTGCTGGCCGTGGCAGTTGTGGCTGGCGGTGCGATGTCAACAGGGGCCACGGTGAGCGGGGCGTGGGTCTGGGCCCTCCCCGGGAGCTGTGCTCGCTCCCACGTGGGCCGGCTTGGAGGGGCTGCGTGGAGTACGTGCCTCAGGGTCCCAGAGCCCGCCTCGGCTCCCCAGAACTTGTTCACAGAGCCAGTCAACCAGCCCTGGCGCTGCGGCCACCCTGGAGCCCCTGGACCCTTGCAGGGGAGGGCTGAGGCTAAGCAAAGGGCTTCCCTCCAGGCAAAGGCCACGTGAGGCACGTGGGTGGGTGGGCTGTGCCTGCGGGACGTGCGGAGCTCCCAGATTGTCCTGGATCCGCAGGTCAGGAAGGACCCAGGGCCCACGGCTCCCTGGGAGTTCCCTCTGAGACCACCCGGGAGATCTCAACCCTGGTTGCTGAGTGACCTCTTGGGGGGCCCAGCCAGGGAGCCGTGTCCTGCTGTCCAGCTGACAGCAATGCCCTCGGGCATGGGGTGGGGCAGCCCGTCCTGCTGGGCGCTTGAGCCTTCTGATGTCTGTGGGGGCCTCTCACCCAGGACAACAGCCCAACGTCCAACAGCCTGGAGGGGGGCGCTGACGCCACGGCCTACTGGTGGGGGGAGTGGACCAAGTGGACGGCGTGCTCCCGCAGCTGTGGGGGCGGGGTGATGTCCCAGGAGCGGCACTGCCTGCAGCAGAGGTGGGAGTCGAGCGTGGCCCCGAGGGGCTGGCATGAGGGTGGGGCAGCAGACAGGAGAGGGTGGCCTGCCCTCCAGCCTGGTGACTTCTCACCCTGGGAGGGGGCTCAGTCTTCCACGGCCCTATCCTGGGACGTGACTTCTGATGGGTCTCTGGCCATGGTGTCCCGGAGTTCCTCGTGCTCCCGGGTACCAGAGAAGCCTTTCCCTTCCATCAATGAAGGGCCCACCCTGACCTTCTCTCCTGAGGACCAGAGGGGAAGGCATGGCTACAGCAGCTGAGAGCCTTCACAGTCAGGCAGGCCTGGGTTCGAATATCGCCTCTGCTACTTCCCCGCTATGTGACCTTGGGCAAGTCACTCAACCTCTCTGAGCACCAGTTTCCTCGCCTGTAGCATAGAGAGCGTGCTGGAGCCGCCCCCGCCCCCCCCCATGCTTCTGAGGGCACACAAGCTGATGTGTGCACGCATGTGAGCACAGGCCTGGCTCCTGGCAAACGTGCTTATCACTGTCACCAAGGCCGTGTGTCGCGCCCTGTGCCATGTGCCAGGGATGCAGAGGTGAATGGAATAGAATCTCAGAATGTCGTTCCTGCACTGCTCGGGTCGGGGTCAGCAGAAAAGTGGGAGGAAGGAGCCTTCTCGGTCAGGGACCAGGGAAGGCATCTGGAACCCGTGGGGCAGCCCAGAGGCCGTCCCTGAACCGGGGTCAGGGCCTGTAGCCCCCGCCCCAGCCCCTCTCAGCACGCTCTCCCTGCCAGGAGGAAGTCTGTCACAGGCGCCGGGAACAGGACCTGCACGGGCACCTCCAAGCGCTACCAGCTCTGCAGAGCGCAGGTGAGGGCGGCCTGGCCGGGCTGGGACACGACCTGCCTGCCTGCCCTTCCTCAGGCGGTTCTCAGGGGTCTCTCCGGTGGCCTCGTGCCTCCTGGACATTCTGTCCTGGGCCTGCCCCTGCAAGGAGAGCCGGGCCGGGCAGGCTGACGTCCTGTGGGGGAGAAGCTGCGGGGCCCGCGCCCGGCTGAGACCAGGGCCTCCTTTGGGCATCGGACCACGGTTCATGCCCATGCGCGCGCAGCACGTGCAGGGACAGACAGATGGACGGACTCACTTTTGCTCATGGAACTTCAAGTGCAGCCTCGAGGTTTGGGGTCTCTGGCTGCAGCCCCCCTTTGCTCACGGCGTTCACGTAACAGGCGCTCGCTGAGAGACTGATCAGTCACCGGGCTTCCTGGTCCCGGTCATGGACGCCCCCCTGGGCTGCTTTCCGAGCCGCCGTGGGTGTCTTCTGCTGCCAGGTGTCCTCAGCTCTGGGCTTCCTGGTTAACCTGCGCCGGGCACCAAGTTCTCGGTGGGGCCACAGTCAGTCTGAACCGGAACACCTGAGGCCCGCGGGGCTGTGAGGCCGGACACGCGGAGCTGGGGTCTGGGTCCCCAGGATGGCTTGCTTGGCTTGCCTGGGCCGGGAAGGCCGAGCTGCTGGGGTCTCCCTGCATGTCGCTGGGGACAGGTGTATGCACCTGCGGGGAGTTCGGGGCTGAAGGGAGGCAGGCGGCCCCAGCTCTGTGTTGGCATCGCCCCGTGGTCAGCTATCCTCTTGGGATGGTGCAGCCAGGGCACGGGGGGACACTCACGAGCTCTGGAGTGAGACGGACTCAAGTTCAAGTTCTGGCTCCCACAGGACTCGGCTGGGCCCTGGGCAAGTCTCTCCTCAGCACCGTGGGTCCCTCTTCCTGACTCAGGGCGCACGGCTGTCGAGGGTGTTCCGGGGGCTGTGGCCGCGTCTGCGGCACGCAGAGGGTCTGCCGAACATGGAGGGTGGGGGCGCCCACGTGGCAGAGCCGCGGCGAGGCCAGAGGTGGGTGGGAGGGAGGTGGGAGGGCATGTCCCGAGCGCGAGGAGGGCCGGACCACGGTGGCGTTGGGGGTTGCCCGCTGCCCTTCCGCTCCCGAGAGTGGGTGGGTGCCAGGGAGATCTGGTGGGCGGGAGCACGAGAGGCCGCCCTGTGGCCATGGCCCCGCGCGGCCGTCCTGGGCTGCTGCCACTTCCTGCTCAGCTTGGACAAAAACGCCTTTGTCGGCCGAGTTCCTCCTGGAGCCTCCCGCCTGTTTCCCGCTCCCCAGGACTGTCCGCTGGACGGGAGGAGCTTCCGCGAGGAGCAGTGCGTCTCTTTCAACTCCCACGTGTACAACGGGCGGACGTACCAGTGGAAGCCTCTGTACCCGGGTACCTGCGGCCCTGGGGACCCCCTGCGGGAGCAGAGTGTGTGTGGGGCCCTTCCAGACCAGGACCAGACCCGAGGGGTGGGCAGTGGGGGCGCTGAGGTGGTCAGAGCCGGGGCAGACCTGGGTGTCCCGTGCCCAGGCCCGGTCTCCGAGGGCAGAGGTGACTCTCCCACTTGCTGGCTCCTGGGCACAGACGGGAACCAGCCTAGCTGATCCCAGATGGGGACTGACCACACTGTCCCACGGGGCCTGGGCTGCCCAAAGTGGCTATTTTCTCTCTCTCCCTCTCTCCTGGGGGGTGAGGAAACAGTTCAGATGACAGTGTGAGTCAGCCAGCCTCGCCCGTTCCCCGGGTGAGACCTGGCGCTGGGGTGCCCAGGGCTGGCCGCCAGGGTCAGCGAGTTGGCTCAGCCTCCCTGGACCCTGTGTGGGTCTCAGGTGCGGCCCCACTCACGGGGAGGCAGAGGCTGCACCTCACGGAGCCTGGGCTGAGCCAGGTGAGCTGTGTCCCGGACCGTTTCTGCCACTGAGGCCCTGGGCACGACGCCCCTTCTCTCCAGCCTCAGTTTCCCCGTCTGTGCAATGGGCGCTGTGGCAGTGGGAGGAAAGGGGAAGTCCCTTGAGTCCGCGCTCCCTCCCCAGCTGAGACCCGTCCTGTCTGCCCCGCCAGACGACTACGTACACATCTCCAGCAAGCCGTGCGACCTGCACTGCACCACCGTGGACGGCCAGCGGCAGCTCATGGTCCCCGCCCGCGACGGCACGTCCTGCAAGCTCGCCGACCTGCGAGGGGTTTGCGTGTCTGGAAAATGTGAGGTTGTTAAACGTTGCAGCAAAAGTACCGCCGGTCTCACTGCGCCTGCCCGTCTGCGGTGGTGGCGGCCCCGGCCCGGCCGCAGCGCCCTCCCAGCCGCCCTCTCCTGCCTTCCTGCAGCCCATCGGCTGTGACGGGGTGCTCTTCTCCACACACGCGCTGGACAAGTGCGGCGTCTGCCAGGGGGACGGGAGCAGCTGCACCCACGTGACGGGCAACTACCGCAAGGGCGGCACCCACCTCGGTAAGCGCCCGCGCTCTCCTTCCAGGCCCGGGTGGGCCGGCCTGGGGCTCGCAGCCTCCCCTGCGTGGCCGTGATGCGCAGCTGCTGTGTGTCCGCTGCGTGCTCCCTGCGTGCCTGCAGCTTCCTGGCTTGGGGATCACGTGTGACCCTGGAGGCCACCTGCAGGGAGGTGTCACGCCGCACTTGGCAAAGGGAGCTGCTGCGGCACGAGTCCCAGCCCGCAGGGGCTGTGAGATGTGACTCGGGGTTGGGGTGGACCCCCCGTCAGCCAGGCTGGCTCAGCCAGAGCCCGCCTTCCCGGGCAGTGCTCGTCCCTTTTCAGAGCCGTGTGCGTGTGGCCACCTGTCTGTGTCTAGCTCTGGCCCGGCCCTCGCGGAGATGGGGTCTGAGCAGGTGGCCGCGCTTTATGCTTTTGGGACGACGTCAGTTGTGACGCGCAGGGTTGGGCTGGATGCATTTCTGGGTCTCGAGAAAGGCCGGTGGGATTGAGCCGGGCTACCACCGCCTCTGCACGCGGGCAGGCAGGACGGCGCAAAACCACCTCACAGGCGAGGAAACTGAGGCCCAGGCGGGAATAGCCTGCTGAGGAGCCCGGTGAGGCCGGGCGAGTCTGGGCCGGAAGTGATGCTTCTGGGGCCACAGATGACCCAGTGTCAGACCCTGGTGAGGTCCTGAAGGCTCAGGGACAGCCTGCACCCCGCGTGAGGGATAATTGTGGGGTTTGTGGCCGTTCTAGGAGGTCCTGCAGGAGGGCGCTGGAGAGGGTGGGGCTTGGATTTGGGCCTGGGGATGGCCTGCCGGATGGAGCGGGACAGGCTGGGAGGGGGGCGGTGTCCGCAGGGCAGCCAGACGGGCATGAGTGCTGTGCGCCGAGCGTCTGGCCAGGCGCGGTGGCAGAGGCCCTTTCTCGGAGGCCTCCCTCCAGGACGGGCAAAGCAAAGGCGTGTGGTTTCCTCCCCTGCCCCCCACGACCCCCAACCTGCTAGCATGGCCTGCTGGCCCCGGGGCCGTGGACGCGAGCCTGGCGCTCAGGCAGCACATGTCGTCCACAGCACCTACTATGTGCCAGGGGCTGCAGGGGCAGTAAGGCCCAGTAGGCAGGTCTGTGCCCGCATGGGACCATCCCGGGCCCGGGCTGATCTGAAAACAGCCCCACCTAGTGCCGCTGAGTGCTTAGTGTGACCACACTGAGCCACAGCTGGCGCGGTTTAACCCATTCCTGCTTGGCAATGTCTCTCCAAGGCACTACCACTGCTGCCAAATACGCATGAACGGGCAGAGAGAGGTTAAGTAACTCACCTAAGGTCACACAGCCACCAGGGCGGCTGGCTCCTGGGTCTGTGGTCCTGGCACTGAGCCCTTCTCCTCCCCGGCAATGTGAGCTTGTTCACCACGGCGAGGGCCGTGCCTTGTGCTACCACCAGCCCGTGCCTGCCCATGAGAGACGCGTATTAAATGCTCAGGAATCCTGTGACCTGCTTGCTAATTTAAAAACTAAAGTATATAAACCTACATTTAAAGACACTATCCTGAAACGAAGGCATCGCTTCCCCATACTTTTACCTCCGTAACTACGCTGTGCGGTGCACGCGCTGCGCAGGTGGGCTGCTGTGTCGCTTCCCTCTTCTGTGCCCAGGGACACGTTTAAAGTTGGTGTTTGAAGGTGGCCACAGTGGGAGCGTTTGCACCAGGAACACAGGCCCGCGCTGCAGATCAGGGCTCTGCCTCCCGTGCCCCAGAGAGCCAGTGTCAGGCATTGACCAGGGCACCGTGGCAGGACGGGATCTCCAGGGACCTGGGAGTGTGGTGGGCTCAGGGCAGTGACAGGCGGGTGCCAGGCTCACTCCGGCCGGCAGACGCTTGCGGGCTCTGCCCCTTCCCTGAGGAACCAATGAAATGACTGTCAACCCCCAGGAAACCTTTCATTTCTGACAGCCCTCCCAGGAGACTTCTATCCTGCAGCTTACTTAGCACACCCTCCTTCCTCCCCGTCGGCCCCCACCCCCGTGCAGAGCCCTGGCCCCTTTCTGTCTGGGGGACTTTGCGGCTGCCTCCACTTCCTTGGCGACAGCCTCTGGGCCTATCGACGTTGCCCGATACGGACCTCGGCCTGGGGCTGGCACTTAGGAAGGGCTTGGCGGAGTTGTCAGCTTCTATTTGCACTTCTGTACTTTTCATCCACGTCTTTGCGTGCGGTAAGCCTTTAAAATCAACGTGAAGTCAGGACAAGATGGGTTCGATAATAATACTAATAGCAGCAGCAAAGCACTTGTGTCGGTGGGAGCACAGAGGCTGCTGGGGCTCCAGTGATTGCCCCAGGTCTCCTGGGTGATAATGTGGCTGAGACGGACTGAAGTCTGCTGACTCCAGAAGGTTAAAGGTCCCTGTGTTCCTCAGTGTCCCCTGGGGGAGCTGGGGCAGGCACCGATGTGCCACCCATGGCCTTGGTAGGAAAGAGTGAACCTGAGCAGGTACCTGGCAGGGTGGGTCAGCCTCCGGGGCAGGACAGGGCCCAGGTGAGCCCCACACAGCTGTGAGGGGGCAGGCCGCCCTCAGACCCTGGGAGGTGGTGAGTGCCATCCGGGGCTGACTCTACAATGGAGAGGCGGTGGTGCCTTCCGGGCCTCGCGCCTTCCTTGGGATGCACCCCAGCTCAGGGCTTCGCTGTGGCCAGGGACGGGCCACCGGCTCTCACCGCCATCTGTCTGCCTCCAGGTTACTCTCTGGTGACCTATATCCCGGCCGGCGCCCGAGACATCCAGATCGTGGAGAGGAAGAAGTCGGCCGATGTGCTGGGTGGGTGAGCCGTCGGCCATGGGGCGTCGTGGGTGGTGGGGAAGGGGCGCTTGACCCTGTGTCCCCTTCAAGAAGGGACGGCCGAGCACTGTGGGCGTGGCCTGGGAGCCAGCTGTGGGAGCGGCTGCAGGGGTCGCAGGGAAGCAGATGTCACCCCCGCGGGTGGGAGGACCTTGTCCTCAGAGCTTCGGACAGCGGCGGGGTCGTGACAGCAGGTGGTGGAGCTGGGGTGCGGGAGCCGGGGTCCCTGTGGGGCGGGGAGTGAGTCTCTGGAAGTGACAGGAAGTAGGAAGTATGTGGCCACCCCAAGGTCACGAGAGACAGAGAAGCAGAAGTGGGGTCTACACGCAGGGCTGGGGGCCCCACGTTGAGGCTCTAGCCGAGGGGCGGTCTGCAGTGGGCAGGTGTGGGCCAGGTGCGGGGCGGGGTGGTGTCCTCTAACTTGAGGATCCTGGGACTATTTGCATGGTGGCCAGGGCAGTCGGGCCCCATCTTGTGGCCAACTTCTGGAAGGGCTCCATGTGGAGCTGAGCATCGGCCTGGCGCTATGCCACGTCTGCATCCCAGGAGGTGGCCTGAGGCCCCTTGGGCCATGGTGGGCAGGTGCTGACACCTGTGGCCACTCTGTGCTTGGCCCTGCCCTGTGCAGGGCAGGCTGGGGACCCAGGCTGTATGGGGACACTGTTTGCAGGTGCAGGTGTGTTTCCAAACCCCACATTCCTGGGCTCACTCCTCCCGCCTGCCTCATCTCCTCGGGCCTCAGTGCCTGCATGGGAGCCAGGCCTGGCGGCCGGACCCTGCCCCTGGGAGGGGATGCTGGGAGGGGAGAGGCTTTGCTGAAGACCCCATCCCCCACCCCCTGCCCGGAGCCCAAGGCTGGCCCTCCATGTGGGCCCTGGGGGTCAGCAGGGCTGTAGGCCTCAGGCCCCACCGCCCACCACCCTGGGAGCTGCCCCTGGCCCAAGCGGGGCGCCAGCCTCCCACCAGGCTGGCTGCCTTGTCACTGGCCTGCTGGGTGAGTGGAGAGGCTGGGAAACCCCGTGCTTCCTGAGCTGGCTGCACAGCCCCGCTCTCGAGACAGACACGTGGGAACACCAGGGACAGCTCGGAGCTCTGCGAAGGCCGCAGGAAGCAAGGCCATTGCTGTGGGGAAGCAGGTTTAGACGAGGGCCTGGGGTTCCAGCCTGGGCATATACCTGCAAGCTGCGCTGAAACAGCCAGGCCCGGGCAGCTCCCGCCTCGCAGAACCCGGGCCCTAGTTTCCGTTATCTCCAACATCGCGGCGTGCAGGACGTTTCTCCAGCAGACACCCCCCTCGCTGCGTCTGTCCGATAGTAAATCCGTTGCCCGGCTCCTCTGCTCACGTTGCATCAGGGACTTCAGAAGCTGAAGTCCTCTCCTCCCATTGGCCAGTTCCTGGAACTGGCCTTAAGGACATCCTTTGGAAGACAGTGTCCCCGAGTGCCCGCTCTGCCCCCTCCCTCCTGTCCCAGCGCTGCAGGCTCTGTCTCTGCTCACGCCCGCAGCCCCGGGAGGACGGGCACCCCAGACAATCACAGCAGCTCTGGCAGCTGCCCCAGCTGGCAGGGCTCTGCGCACACGCCTGCCTGTCCTGAGCTTCTCTTAGGGCCTGGGAGTGTCCACCCACCCATGCCCGATCAGGGACAGGGTGGCTGAGAATGTGCCAGGCCACCCTCCTGCCTGATCGGGCCCCGCAGCCAGGTCTGGGCAGCCCAGGCAGCAGGACGTGCGACTCCTTGGAGAGAACCGGGGCCGGCCAGCTCGGGTGGGCCCAGGGAGGCCTGGGTGTCCCTCAGTGCGGTGCTGCAAGAGGCCTAGAGGCCCGTCCTCCCTGTCCAGGTGGGGAAGCTGGGGGTGGTGCCTTGCCCAGGCCACACAGCGAGTCTGCACGGAGCCGGGCGGTACCTCCTGCCCATACCCGGCCCACAACTGCCGTCCGGCACGCACCTTCCACAGGTGCTGCCTCTCCTGGGCCAGGTCGGGCCACCTGGTCATGGTGCCAGCTTGTCACTTCATAGCCCTTATCCCCTTCAAAGGCAGCTGGAGGAAAGGACCAAGAGGGTCCCCAGACAGCTCTGTCCAGCCATCCAGATGCGTCCAGGTGTCTGTTTTAGGCTGAGGGAAAGAGCATTTGCACCTCTGCGGCAGTCCCCGGCCAGGACCCCGCGCCGGCTCGGGCAGACGCCGGCCCCGGCACGAGGTCTCCATCTCCAGGGTAGCAGAGGGCAGGGCTGGCCATGGTCCCCGAGGGTGCGGCGCTGGTGTCTCCCCCAGCTGCCCGGCCCTGTGACGGGCAGCTGTGCCCTCTCAGCCCTTGCAGACGAAGCCGGCTACTATTTCTTCAACGGCAACTACAAGGTGGACAGCCCCAAGAACTTCAACATCGCCGGCACTGTGGTCAAGTACCGGCGGCCCATGGACATCTACGAGACCGGCATCGAGTACATTGTGGCACAGGGGCCCACCACGCAGGGCCTGAACGTCATGGTGCGTGTGCTGTGGGGGGACCACGCAGGGCCTGGACGTCGCGGTGCGTGTGCTGGGGGGATCACGCAGGGCCTGGACGTCGCGTTGCATGTGCTTGGGGGGGACCACGCGGGGCCTGGATGTCGTGGTGCGTGTGCTGGGGGGATCACGCAGGGCCTGGACGTCGCGTTGCATGTGCTTGGGGGGGACCACGCAGGGCCTGGATGTCGCGGTGCGTGTGCTGGGGGTCAGCAGGGCCTGGACATCGCGGTGCGTGTGCTTGGGGGGGACCACGCAGGGCCTGGACGTCGCGGTGCGTGTGCTGGGGGTCAGCAGGGCCTGGACGTCGCGGTGCGTGTGCTTGGGGGGGACCACGCGGGGCCTGGACGTCGCGGTGCGTGTGCTGGGGGTCAGCAGGGCCTGGACGTCGCGGTGCGTGTGCTTGGGGGGGACCACGCGGGGCCTGGACGTCGCGGTGCGTGTGCTGGGGGTCAGCAGGGCCTGGACATCGCGGTGCGTGTGCTTGGGGGGACCACGCGGGGCCTGGACATCGCGGTGCGTGTGCTTGGGGGGACCACGCGGGGCCTGGACGTCGCGGTGCGTGTGCTGGGGGTCAGCAGGGCCTGGACATCGCGGTGCGTGTGCTTGGGGGCGACCACGCAGGGCCTGGACGTCGCGGTGCGTGTGCTGGGGGTCAGCAGGGCTGTGGGTGCTGCGCCCCCAGAATCTGTCCACGGGAGATGGCTCCTCCGGAGTCCCGGCTGGTTTCCTTCCCAGGAACCTTCAGTGAGGAGGGCCGGCGGGTGACCTGCCGCTGGTCAGGGCCGCTCATGCTTCCCCTCTTCTGCCTGTGCTGGGTCCCTTTAGCCTCAACCGGTGCCTCAGCTGGCCCCAGTGGCTCACCTGGCGAGGTGACCGTGGTCTCTGTGCCCTTCCCTGTCCCAGGCTGCTGTCCTCATCCGGTTGCCATCACAACTGGGCAGGGGTTTGCCAAGAGATGTCCCAGTGGATCCACGGGGTACCAGATCCATTCTTGGCCCCTGAGGTCCAACAGCACCATCCTCCTCCCGGTTAGGGTCCGTGCCCCTGCGGGACACCCCACCCTTTCCTTGCCGCTGGCCTCTCGGCACCAGGGCCCCACAGAGAGCAGGGGGCAGTTGTCGCTTAACCTTTGATGAAACTGTTGCTGTGTCTTCTCGCGGAAGTGTCCCTGCATGGGAACTGGGGTCTCTGGGTCCCAGCTGCTCCAGCTGCACAGATGGGGAGCACAGAGTCCCCAAGCGGTCGCTGGGAATGACAGCACTGTGCCCCTTTGCTTCCCAGCCCCACACGGTCCACCTCTTGGGACAAGCTCTCCGTCCAGGCGGTGGCTTCTGTGTGTGCTGCCTCGTGGGGCTGCCCCAGTGCATCCTGTGGGGCGTGTCGCCTCCAAGCTGGCGCCTCGTCTTCGCCCCGTCGCTCCGTCAGCCTGGTGGTTTCTGGGTGGCACAGCACACGGCTGGCCCGGTGCATCCCATAGTCACGTGCCCACTTGGCACCTTTGCCGTAAGTGGGTCCCTTTGTCCAGTGCAGCGTCACGTGGCGTCTCGTCTCAGTGGACCAAGCACTCCGTGAGTCCGTGGACGTCGGGCTGGCGGAGGCCCCCTGGGCGGGAAGGGCAACCGTATTTTTCGAGTAAGATTCGCCACTTCCGCTTCCAGGATGGGAGGGTCTGACGTGACTACCTTGCCAAGCAGGAACCGGCGCTGTCTTGGGGGCGGTGCTGCGTCACGGGCTCAGTGTCGCCGCTGGCTGGGCTTTTGCTTGTGTGACACCGTGCTGTCAGCCTGTGTGTGGTTTCCTCTTGGCCACGTGGCTGTTCCATTCACACACCCCTTGTACCATGTGGGGTGACCGATGGCAGGGGCTGACCGATGGCAGAGGCTGGCCTGTGTCAACTGGCAAAGCCACGCTCTCGTACGTGGCTGTTCGGGGCCCGGCGTGGTGGACGCTCCCTGGCAGGCATGGCCAAGCGGTGCGGAGACCTGCGCGTTTCCTGCCCCTCCCCGTCCCCGCACGACAGCCTCCCCAGCGCCCGCTGCCCAGGCTCCTCCTCTGCCCACGCGGGCTCCGACCGCTCGGCCAGGCCAGGTGCCACTGCCCGCGGTTCGGTGCCCGTTCCTATCTCGGGCCACTCTGCTGTCCCTGCAAACTGGGCGATCCCATCGTGCACTGCCTGAAGCCCCTGGGAGGGACTTTCTTCCACCGCCGTCTGTCAAGGCCACCCCTGCACGGGGTGTTGGGGACGCAGACCCCATTTCCAGCCTGCACACCGAGCCCCCCCATCCGAGCCAGGTCCGACCACTTTTCTCCGCTCACCGCACCGCAAGGGCAGCGTGAGCTGAGCGGGGCGGGCTCCGGCGTCCCGGACGGTGGGAGTCTAAATGCTGGCTGATGCCGCTTTCTCGTGTGCCCGGCGCTGACCATGTCTATTCCTGGGGGGACCCTTCCGTCTTGTGCTGGATCGCAGCTGGGCCTCCCCACCGCGTGACTTTGTGGGGCTGAAAGCTCCGGCCGTGTGGCTCATGCGATGGCCTGAAGCAGAGTTCTGGCTCCCCCAGGGCCTGTGGCCAGAAGCTCGTTCCCAAAGGCTGCGTGTCTGTCTGCCGCGGGCGGCCTCGCCCCAGAGCCACGGGGTCCGCGTTGTGCTTTTCCTAGTGAGGCTTTCCAGAAACTCCATAGGACATCTCTCCCCACCACAGATGTCCCTGTCCCTGTAGGACCTGCCAGGCCGTATGGCCCGGTGGCAGGCTGCTCACGGCACGGCCTGGGCCTGCGGCAGAGCCCGTCTACTCAGTCCCACTCAGAGTGGGCAACTTCCTACGAATATATCACCCGGTGTGCGGACTGAACCGATATTCCCGGCGCGGAGCAGGCTGTCCCAGAATTCTGCATGGTGGAGGGTATGAAATGCAACAGTTTTCCTCTCAGGGGGTGTCCTGGCACACCCCAGATCCCTGGAGCCTGGCGTTGTCACCGATGTGGGGGCACCGAGTCTGCAGAGGGTTGACTCGGATCCTTTAAGACACACGTGCTTTCCCAAGGCCGCCAGCGCCACGTCCCGCTCAGCTGCCCGACCACCACGCTGCCGGCACTGTGGACGACGTGATGTGCTCGGGGCGGCCCAACCCCTTTGTGCTGTGTTGTCGCTGGGAGTGGGGGCTGTCGTAGCCCTGGGTCAAAGCCCCCGTGTGTGCCGTTGCCGCCCACCCTGTGCAAACAAAAATCGCTCTGCCCTTCCTCCTGAGGGGGAGGGAAGAGAACGTGTTTTCCAGACCAGTGGCCGCCCAGGACCAGCCTGGGGCCAGGCCGGTCTGCTCTGGAGGAGGCGCAGGTGCCTCTGTGGGGTTGAGGGTGCAGGACTCTGCTGCGCTCTGACGGCAGAACCGAGGTCTGTCTCGCTACTGTGGGCGCCAAAGTGCTGCATCAAGCGCGGGATCCGATGGGCTCGCGCCCTGCGTCAGGCCGGCCCTCGCTTCCTCCGAGCTTCTGCGAGCCCCCTAGTAGCACGTGAGCCACTTCTCCCAAAGTTCTCGTGATGCGCGAATCCCCCACCGTTCCGGTCGGTGGCCGGGGTGCCGTGGTGTGTGGTCCCTTCTCCCCCAGGACTGAGACGTGACTTCAGCCTGAGCTATTGGTCTGGTAGCCAGGTGAGGAGAGTGGGATGGGTCCAGAGGGGCCCAGGGGGTCGTGGGGCAGAGGTCTCCGCAGGAGGAGTGCCGGCTATACCAGGGAGGAAGAGGCTACATTTTTAGGCCCGGAAGATTCAAAGGAATCAGAGATTTGAAAATTTTCAAGCGTATTCACTCAGATCCCCACATCCCAAGTCTCAGGGTTCCAGCTGGCTAGACTCCAACCTCCCTGGTTCTCCGCCCTCCACTGTAGCACACGACAGCACATGACCGCGGCCCAGCCGGCAAGGGTGGTTAGGTGGGGGCTCCTCCCCCAGCCCTCGGTGTGGCTCCGCAGTCCCTTATGACTTTCTAACCCCTACCCCTGTCCCCAGCCGACTCTCAAACCCTGGAGCTGTTACGCCAATAGTGCATTTCCTCCGCCGGTGTCAGCTCCCCGTTCCCCACTGGTGACCTTTTCCTCGGTGCCCCATGGTGGGCTCCCACCCCCCTGCCGGCAGGTGGCCCTGCTCCTCCAAAACCCCATCCTAGAGTCCTCGTCCTAGGCCCCCCCTGCTGACACCACTGTGCTTGGCTGGAGTCTCTGGAAGAAGACGGAAGACGCTCCCGGGGAGGGGCTGCAGGGGTCTGCCTCGGCCCACCCCGCGGGGACCGCTGGAGCTGGGCGACCTTCCGCTTGTCCCAGCTGAGGCGGGGCCTGGGTCTTTGCCCACCCCCACTGGCCTGCTGGGGGGTGGGTCTGGCTCGGAGGGTGGTGGGAGGGAGACCCCGTTATTACGTTGTTACGTGGGATTTCTGGCACGTGGCGAGAATCGAATGCTGGTGGTTACTCAGATAACACCCGCTCCACGCAGTGTGTCCCCACATTCCTGCCCCAGGCTGGGTGTGGCCTTGGGCGAGGGACACGGTGCGCCACAGCCGCTCGAGGGGCTGGGGAGAGTGGGGAGGGGCCGGGATCCCACTCTCCTGCCTCCCCAGGTGTGGAACCAGAATGGCAAGAGCCCCTCCATCACCTTCGAGTACACGCTGCTGCAGCCGCCGCACGCGCACCGCATCCCGCCCGTGTACTACGGCTTCCCCGAGCCCGGCTCCGACAGCGCCGAGAGCCAGGAGCTGGACGGGGCCGGGCCTCTGGGCTTCGTGCCTCACAATGGCTCGCTCTACAGCCAGGCCTCCTCGGAGCGGCTGGGCCTGGACAACCGGCTGTTTGGCCACCCGGGCCTGGAGCTGGAGCTGGGCCTGAGCAAGGGCCAGGAGACCAACGAGGTGTGCGAACAGCCCGGCGGCGCGGCCTGCGAGGCGCCAGCCAGGCCCAAGGGCTTCCGAGGTACCCAGGAGGGAGTGGGGTCTCTGGGGACGGGGCCCTGGGGAAGGGTCTTCAGGCCCTCTCTGGTCTGCAGAGGTTAACAGGGGCCAGGAACCGCAGACCCACCCCAGGCAGGCACAGGGCTGAGGACTCGGGGTCTGTCCGTACCTACAGGCCTTCTCTGTGGCAGATGTGATTGTCCCCACTGGACAGGTGGGGACACTGAGGCTTAGATGGCAGGAGTGACTTGCCCAAGTCACACGTCCCCTAGGGAGGATGGCCTGAGCCCATGGGCTGCATCCGTGCTCACTTGTCCTGTGTCTGTGTGTCCCCGCGTGTCCTCTCTTCTGATAAGGATGCCAGTCTTTGAATTTAGGGCCCACCCCAAATCCATGACAATTTCATCTGAAGATTCTTAGCTGATCACAGCTACAAGGACCCTATTTCCAAATAAGGTCACGTTCTATTTGTATGATGTGTGGGTACCAGCGCAATTTCGTTACGCGCACAGATTGCGTCGTGGTGAAGTCAGGGCTTTCGGGGTGTCCATCCCCCAGATACATGTGCTGTGTCTCGTCATCCACCCTGTCCCGCCACCCTCCCAATCTCCATCGGTCCATCGTGCCTCTGAGACGTGCACACACAAAGGGTCCTATCCCAAGATGCCCACTGCAGATGGTGACTGTCCCCTCGCAGGACACTGTCCAGGCCCCCACGTGGGGAATCTCGGCCAAACCGTGTCCTTTAGTTGGGCAGAAACCTGCCTTCTGGGGGCTTCCCAGTCCAGCCGCTTGACTTCAGCCCCGCCTGTCCAGGTCCCTCCCCCGGGCAGCCCTGGCCCCCAGGCGTGGGAGGCTTGGGGTTGAGCCGCCTGTCTCCCTCTGTAGACCGCAACACCACCGGGACCGCTCTCGCGGGGGACAAGGATGACCGAGAGGCTGACGCCCGTCTCGCCTCCCAGGAGTTCCTCTCGGCCAACGCCATCTCCGACCAGCTCCTGGGCGCGGGCTCCGACTCCAAAGAGCTCTCCCTCAACGAGACGGTGAACAGCATCTTTGCACAGGGTGCCCCGCGGAGCTCCCTGGCCGAGAGCCTCCCCGTTGACTACGAGGACCCTGAGGAAGCCGGCGCCTACCTGCTCAACGGGTCCTACCTGGAGCTGAGCAGCGACAGGGCCACCAACGCCTCCTCCGAGGCGCCCGTCCCCAGCGTCAGCGCCAGCCTCCCCACCTCAGCTGGGAACAGGACTCACAAGGCCAGGTAGGCGGCACAGGTAGACCCCCAGCCCCGTCCAGGGCCCTGTGGGGTGGCCGGTGCCAAGGCCCAGGGGGCAGTGAGGCCAGGCTGCAGGGTCTGGCCGGGAGGGCGGGGACCTGGAGGTAAGAGAGGGAGGGCCACTCCCCCGCAGGGCCCCACCTGCCGCCCGGTGGATCTGAGCACGAGGCCAGAGGCTGCAGCACGTCTGCCCCTGGCGTTAGGTCCACGGGTCACGGCCCGTGCGGAGCTGCTGCCTGGGCAGGAAGCCAACAGTGCCGAGCACCCTGCAAGAGCCAGGGACGGGGCTCAGCAGTTTACATGCGTGCAAACGTGATCGTCACCACTGCCTTAGCGGGGCTCAGGGAGGGCGCACGAGGTACTCGAGGTCACAGAGCCGAGGACTTGGGGCCCCTGGCTGTGCGGCAGGACGCGGGTGCCCAGGCCACCCTCAGGTGCAGAGCGGGCCAGTGCCAGCCTCCACCACAGGCAGAGAGAAGGTGGAGCAGGACCCAGGGGCTCCTCACCCAGAGGCCAGACCCCAGTCAGGGACTGAGGACAAGACTGGCTGTAGCTGACACCAGCCGTGAGAGTCCACCTGGGGCCAGGCCCCCAGAGCCGAGGCCGCAGCTGGGGACGCCTGGGCAGTCACAGCCAGGCCTGGAGGGGCCCAAGGTCAGGAGCCTCCCTGGGTCAGGCGCCCGCTGGGAGCAGGGTGGCCCCACTGTGTCCCCCGCGGAGGTCCCTGGCGATAAGCCCCCTGGACAGAGGGTGGCCACCTTGCCAGTCCCTGCTCTTCTCCCCAGCAGCTCAAATGGGCCGGGAGGCTGTCTCTGGTCAGACTGAGCCCGTCCCGGTCCCTGCTGGGCTGGGGGGGACTGGGGGTGGGTTGGGCCCACTGCTGTTCGCTTTTTTCTGTTTTCCGAGCACCTGCCCAAGCCCTTGACTTTAGCCCCAAGCAGGACTTCGACCCAGCCAGGCTGGGGGGCCGACGTGGGCCTCCTTAGGAGATCCGAGGTTTACTCTAGAGGTGATGTGGTTTGGGGCTACCTCTCACCCGTCTCCAGGGGACAAGAGCAGCAAAGCTGCCTCCCTGGCGAGCCTGGAGCCCAGGGGTGCCTGCCCCTTTCTCGGAGTGCTGTCTGAGGTCTCTGGCTCCCACAGGACGCCGGGGCTGTGGGGCTTGGGGCACGTCTGGGGCCACTTCCGACGTGCTCTGGGTGGACAGAGTGGAGCCTTGGAGCCCCCTCCGGCTGCCCCTCTGCCCACAAGCATGGCACCAGGCTGTCTGGTCACCCACCCTGGCACCCTCAAAGCCTCCAGAGAGGGGCCTCTCGCTGGCGTGGGGGACTCGGTAGCTGGCAGAGAGGGACAGGCTTTGCTCTGGGGGTGCAGGATGTGAGCCTGAGCGGGGAGAGCAGAGTCCGCCAGCACTTGGCTGTGTGACTGGGCGTCACTCTAGCTGTGAGCCTGGCTTCTGCACCATCAGCGCGGGTCACGCAGGGCGTGGCCCTGTGTGCCGAGTGTGACACAAGGCAGGGGGGACCCAGGGAGCTGAAGCTGGCAACATTAATGATAAATAATACATTGAGCCTTGCGGGGGCTCCCAGGACCGTGGCTTGGGTGGCACAGCCAGCTACTGGGCCTTATCAGGGGGACCAGGGCGCTCAGGGTTTGAGAATGCCGGCAGCTGACCCACTGTGTGAGAGGGACACGTCCCTGCCCTCCTCTGGGCCTCAGTTTCCCCATTTCTCAGTGCGGGGCTTGTGGGGGGGTGCCCTCGGGGCCCACTGGCTCAGATATTCAACGATGCCCAGGACGGGGGGCATGGCATGGCTTTCAGACCCTCAAGCCACGTGTTAAAGTCTCCCTGCCCCATTGCCTCGCGCCTTGGGGACAGATTGGGTTTCCAGGGCCCGTCCGGGGGCGCAGGATCGACAAAATAGGCTGTCAGCACTCGGAAAGGCCCAGCGTGGGGAGGCGCAGTGGCTCCCCCAGCCGGCTGCCATCAAAGGACGCTGCCACAGCCGCGAAGATGTTCCGCAGAGATAAAGGGCAGAGGGGACCTGCCAGGCCGAAATAGCCACGTCTCGGCCAAGCCGTCCAAACACAGGAAGTCGCGTCTGCTAGGAGAGAAGGCGGCCCAGAAAGGAAGGGCTATTTTCATCTTCCCAGAAGAGCTTCAAATAATCAAGGGAGGGGCCCTTGTCACCAGACTCAGACATCAGGAACAAGCCTCTGAGACCCAGAGTCCCCGCCTGGGGGAGGGACAGAAACAGCCGCTTTCTGTTTCGTTTGTAAACAAACACGGTCATCTCGGACCTTCTCCCGCGGGGGCTGCCTGAGCTGCATCCAGCCCGGCAGCTGGGCAGGGACCCCGTGTGGCCACAGGCGACTCGGAACATCCCAGCGACTCCGCAGCCGTCACGAGCCATGTCTAGCAGCCCTGACTCTCGCGGCTGGGGGGGCCGTCTCCTCCCTCCCACGCGGGCGAGGGAAGGGCTGGTGGTTCGGCGATTTCCTGGGTGTTTTGCTTCTTGGTGCCGCTTCCAAGAAGGGGCCTGTGAGGCGTTGCACTGTTGTGCGAATATATGCAGGGTTCTGTTCGAGAGTTGCACGTGCCATGCGCACACGCGCCGCGGCGCCGCGGAGAGTGACGTGTGGGCAGCCCCTCCAGAAATACCTTTGGTGCTTCGCATCCAGAGGGTTATTTTGAACCGGGCGGCTCTCTCGAGCCGAGGATGAGTCACGCTGCCTGCTGGCCGGGGCGTAATTAGAGAAAGATGGGGCTTCTCCGTGGCGGGTGGGGGTGGGGGGGGCGGGAGCTGGGTCCTTTCGTCCCCTTTGCTCCTGGGGAGGATTTAAAGCTGTGGAAAGCAGGGCGGGGACCTGATCAGCAAGGCTGGGTGTTTTCTGAATCAAGATTAGGGACTGGTCTCTGGGCTCCTCCTCCCCAAAACGATCTGCTCACCCGGGCTGGGTGTGCTCGCAGATGTCACCGGGGAGCTCTGCGAGTTTCCACAGCCCTTTGTTCTGACGTGACAGGGTCTTGGGACAGCCCCCATTTAAAAAGTTTCCTCTCATTTTTAAATAGGGGAGAGGGGACTTCGCTTCCCCTTGACGCCTGGAAAAGGGCCGAACAGGCTCCAGGTGCGGGAGGCCACCTGGCTTCGAGCACACAGGGAGACCAGCCCCCAGCCCGCCGGCCTCCTCCCCCGCTCTCCTCTCCCGCCGAGTTTGGGAACCACATCGGTGAAACCATTATTTAAGCCCCCGTTGGTAGATCGTTTCCTGGGTCAGAGACGTGCGTTAGGGCAACGTCCGTCCCTGAAGTTCGCCGTCGCCGGGACACTCTGGGAGGGACAAGCAAACCCAAGGGCACTTCCCCACCGACTGCTGGTCGCAAACTCCCAGTTCAGTGCCAGCCGCTGTCTCCATCGTGGAGTCAGCCAGAAAGCCTTTCGGGGTGTGGCGCCCCATGACAGACACCCTGCGCCTGACCCCCCCGGGGACAGAGTGTCCCGAGGAAAGGACCTGTGAAGGACGCTAGCTCAGGGTCGTCCTTAGCCAGCCCGGGCCACCCAGAGCACAGTGGAGCTGGCAGCACAGCCCAGTTTAACAGGGAAGGAGAAGCCTGAGGCCGCTGCTGGCTGGGCCGCTCTGGGGACAGAGCAGACGCCTGGGCCACGGGGCTGTGTCTGCTTCCCTCCTTCCCTGCTGAGTCCCAAATGCGCCTGCCAGTCGCATGTGGATGCGGAGGCTGGGCCCAGGCACACCTACTGGTTCAAAGAAGCGAACAGTCCTAACAATAGTGGCTTTGGCTGCCTGAGTTCCGGCCAAGAATCATAGCTGGTGGCTGGCCGGGACCCAGCATGCCCCCCTCCCTCCCCGGGCTGTGCAGCCATCGCAGACCTGGGCCGCCACGAGCGCCCTGGCCACGCCCTGTCTGCAGCCCAGTGGCTTCGCTTTGATCCTTGGAGGCTGAATGGCCAGTGTCCGGGCTGAGGGCGGCAGGCGAGGGCTCTGCCTTCCCAGGCCCCCTGCCGGGAGGGAAGGAGGAGCCTGCCAGCCGTGCGATAAGGCGAAGGCTGTGTGTGAGCAGGGCCTCACCACGCTGGCCCCGTGTTCTCCAACACGCTGCCCACACCCGAGGAGCTCCGGCCTCTCGGTGCAGTTGTGGAGTGGAAAACATGCCAATGTCTGCTCAGCCCTGAAGGTGCCCCCTGGGCACGTCACCCCCTTCTGCCTGAGACTGGGGGACTCGGAGGGGTAGGGACATGGCCTGGGGCTCAGGCAGGCCCCTGGTGGGCACCAGGGTTCTCACCACCTTCTCTCCCGGCCTCCTTCCCAGGCCCAGGCCCAAGGCACGCAAGCAGGGCGTGAGTCCCGCGGACATGTACCGGTGGAAGCTCTCGTCCCACGAGCCCTGCAGTGCCACCTGCACCACAGGTACTGTCGTGGGGTGCCAAGGTAGTGGGGATTGGGGCTGGGGGAGCCCCAAACTTCCCACAGGGCACTTGTCTGGTGGCTTCCTGACCCGGGGGCAGGATGTGTCGGGAGTTAGGGTGTCGGATGCGGGCACCCCAGTTCTCATGGTGCCATGGCCAGGCCCAGGCCCTGGGGGGCCACCAAGCCACCCCCAGTGACCTCGCATCTGCTGCCATTCATGTTTCATCTCACTGGGGCGCACGCCCTTTGGGTTGGAAGTGAGAGACCTAGGCGGTGAGGACTTCTGTTCGCAGCAAGCGTGGGAAGAGAGAAATAGACGCTGTGATCTGTGAGTGACCCAGGAATCAGTCAGATTCTAGGACCGGACCAGCAGGGGAGGAGTTGGGGGGCAGCGACCTACCTCCCGGTAGAGCCTAGACAGACACACACCTGCGACTGGCAGGTGTCCAGCTGGGATCTGAGCCCACGTCTGTGGGACTATGGTGTGGCCGACACCGGCACACTGAGACGTTGGCCCAGGCTCTAGGGCGGGGGCCGCGACTGCTGCCCCCTCTGGCTCTCTCCCCTGGGGGTGCCGCGAGGTTCGATGTCAACCCGGACCAGGATGCAGGGGCGGTGGTGGAGACAGCCCGAGTGCCGGCTCTGCGGCCACACTTCTACCTGGGACTTCGTGGTGTGTGTAGATGGTGCCTGGCTGCCCCTCAAAATGTAGGATGCTCTCGGCACCCTCAGCCGGCCAGGGCTTGGGACAGCCTGCATTCCCTGGCTGGTGAGGATGCCGGGCAGTGGGCTGGCCGTCTGGGCTTGACGGCAGCCCCACCCCACAGCCTGGTGCGTCTCAGGGGACGGGCCCTGAAGACGGGGAAGGAGAGAGGTGGCCCGGTGGCTGTGAGCCTCACACTCTGCTCACGCTGGCCCTGCCTCTCTCGGGCTGGAGAACGGGGTTCTTCTCCAGTTACCAGAGGCTCTGAGCAGGGCCCCGGGCGCAGGGCACGGACATGCCCATCCTGTCCCCACACCTGGCCTTCTGGAGGGGAGGACCCCCCTTGGGGACTGCAGGATGAACCCTGCTCGCACCACCTGGGCGGGGGGGTGGGGAGAGAGAGAGACAGAGGGGCACACAGGGTGGGGGGCAGAGCTTCCACCCTGTGATGGGCTCCTGCCCCCGAGTCTCCCGGGTGACCTTTGTAGAAGGTTCCGTTTCGGGGCTGAGCAAGTGAGGCCTGAAGAGCCTGAGGGTGGCCGTGTCACCCCCGGAGACGCTGAGCTGGGACTCGAACTGCAGCCTGTCTTGACCGAGGCCTGCTGTGTCCCCACTCGCCGGGGAGGCAGGATGAGCAATCACGCTCCTGGCGGGCTCTGAGTCCCCAGCCCCGAGCCCTGGGCCCCAGGCTGGTGTCTCTGAGGCCCGGAACATTCCAAGCAGGCTGGCCAGGAAGCCGCCTCCCCTCAGAGAAGGCTGGAGACTGCACAGCCCAGCTCTGGTGGGAGGGGAACCGCCATCGCGGCCCAGCCCGGCCAGTAGGGAAGGAGAAGCCCCGCGGCGGCCACTTCCCAGGCCCGGCCGTTCTGTCCGAGCTGAGGCTGGGGAGCAGGACACGCGGCCTTCAGACACGCGTCGCGAGGAAGGGGCGTGAGTGGCTGGGCCCTCCGACAGGGAAATCGATTTCCTCCTGGGGAAGTTGGCACCCACGGGAGCACTGTTCTGTGATGCCCGTCACCCGGGAAGGCCGGTCTGTCCCTCCCATGCGCGTGCGCAGACGCACAGCAGCAGCGAACCCCGGCCCCATGCAAGCAAACACATAGTGACGAATTAAGAAAGTTTGAGATGACATTTGTTAGGAACTGAGACATGCCGGAGGGCAGGGAGGGCTGCAAACCGAACACGACGTCTGAGAAGCTGCCAAGGGCTGGATGGCTCACCCCTCCCCCCACCGTCCACAGATGGTGGCTGCTTGGTGACTGAGCAGGTGGCACCTGCTGCACCTGCCTCTGCAAGGGCCAGTCTGGGCTTGCTCAAGGCCCAGGGGAGTGACAGGGGACCTGGGTGCCCAGCCTGGGCTGGAGGGGCTGGGTGGGCTGCAAAGAGAAGAGTCGGACCCTGCAGGCAGCCAGCTCAGCCCCAGAGCTGTCCCTGCCCAACTGCCCCATGAGTTGGTGACTGTCGTGACCCTCAAGCCAGGAAGCCGGGCAGGCCCTGAGAGGTCCAGTGACTTGCCGGGGGTCCCCAGGTCCTGGCTGTGAACCACGTGCCTCACAGGCCCTTCCCTGTCCTGACCCAGGGGTCATGTCAACGTACGCCATGTGCGTCCGCTACGACGGCGTTGAGGTGGACGACAGCTACTGCGACGCCCTGACCCGTCCCGAGCCCGTCCACGAGTTCTGCGCGGGGCGGGAATGCCAGCCCAGGTACCTGCCCCAGGGGCCACGGGAGGGTGCTGGTGGGGGCGAGATCTGCCTTGCCCTGCCCAGAGCGGCGGCTGGACTCAGCGTCCTGCCCCTTAGTGGTGCGCTGTGGGCAGGGCCGTGGGGGCCTGCAAGCAGGGGCACAGTAACCCGGAGTTGCAGTCAAATCTGTCACTGTGCCTCGCACGAAGTAGGTGCTCATAAATGCTTGCCACTGTAGATTTAGGAAACACTGTCAACGTCACTCTTGACTACAGTGCTGTCTTTGCCCCCCAGCCTGCTGGGCGCATCTCGGGTGTTTGTAAGCCAAAGGGGTTACCCCTGAAGCTCCATGCCGACTGGCCGTCCCTCGGATGGGGTGGAGGCCCTGGCTTTCTGGCCTCCAGGCCTCCCACCTGGCCTCGCAGGTGCAGGCTGAGCCCTGAGCACACCTCCCTAGTGACAACCAGGGTCCCCAGATGAGCCCAAGGGTGCTGGCTCCAGCGACAGGAGTCGGAGGCTGAACGCTCCTGCTCCCACAGGGCCACACTCCCTCTGTCCCTCCGGCCTGCGCCAGCCCCGCCTCATGCTCCTTGCACATTTGCTCCTTTCTGGGGAGGGCAGAAGACCCCGGCCGTCTCTGGAGCGCTGCCTGGGCCCGCCAGGGTGGTCTGGCTGGGCCTGTCCTTCCCCTCGGAGCCCCACTGGCTTGGCCCCCTTATTCCAAGTCTGTCTTCCTGGAGGACTTTGGGGTCTTGTCCACAATCCGGCCTGCTCAGGCCGAGTAGGGGTGCGGGGTCTGTGCTGGCACGCTAGCGAGGCTCCTCTCTGTTCACTGCCCCCCATCGCTCAGCCCTGTGGGGGCCGTAGCCACCGGTGTGACTCGGCGGGGCGTGAAGGTCACTAAAGTCTAAGGCACACTCAGGCGCCCTCCCCCGACCCGGCTCGGGTGCTCCCTGGAGACCACCGTGTGTCTCACAGCAGCAGCCCACGCCCTCCCGTCTGCCCGGCCTGTCGTGGTTTTGGACCACAGGGGCGGGGGGGGGCACATCATCTTCGGGGGTGTGGGGTTGTGGGGGTCCTGGCCGCAGAGTGGGGGTCACTGAAGGCCATCCCCGCCCGAGGCAGGTGGGAGACCAGCAGCTGGAGCGAGTGCTCGCGCACCTGCGGTGAGGGCTACCAGTTCCGCATCGTCCGCTGCTGGAAGATGCTGTCGCCCGGCTTCGACAGCTCCGTGTACAGCGACCTGTGTGAGGCGGCCGAGGCCGTGCGGCCCGAGGAGCGCAAGACGTGCCGGAACCCGGCCTGCGGGCCCCAGTGGGAGATGTCCGAGTGGTCGGAGGTGAGCTGCGCGGGCGCGGGGGGGGCGGGCGGCCGGGCGGCTGCAGGTCGGGCGTCGGCGTCGTGACCGTCCCTCCCCTTCCTCGCAGTGCACGGCCAAGTGTGGGGAGCGCAGCGTGGTGACCAGGGACATCCGCTGCTCGGAGGACGAGAAGCTGTGCGACCCCAACACCAGGCCTGTCGGGGAGAAGAACTGCACGGGCCCCCCCTGCGACCGCCAGTGGACTGTGTCCGACTGGGGGCCGGTGAGGGCAGGGCCAGGAGGGGCCTGTGTTGAGGGGGGAGGGGGCGTGAGGCTAGTGAGAGGGGACCCCAGCGCTCTGGTTTGATGTGCCTCGGTTTCCCTATTTTTCTGGAGCAAAGATGTGAAGGGAGAATGCCTACTGGCCTTTCTCCACTGCTGTTGTAAGAATCAAAACCTTTATCTAAAAGCAAGTGGCCACCAGCACGCTCCCTTCTATAACCTTTCCGTCTGCCTCTGCATGTCTCTCCCCAGTTTTGTCTCTCTGCATCTCTCCCTGTCTCTGTCTCTCTGCATGTCTCTCCCCACCTTTGTCTCTCCATGGCTCTCCTGTCTCTGCCTCTCATCTGGGAGAGACAGGTGCTCAGGTGTCAGCTCCGGGCACCTCTGGGTGGTGGGTGCACAGATGACCCTTTTAGGTGTGCTTTTCTTTGTGTTTTTCATTGAGCACGCATTATTTCTGTAATTAGAACAGAAAATGCTATTTAAAAAATGGTTACCGCAGCAACCGCTTCCCCACACTGGCTGGGGAGCCACTCCTCCCCCGGGGCTGCTGTCTGGGGCCCTCGTGGAGTGGCCGCCGCCTCTCACCCGCTGCCCCGCGCCCCTGCAGTGCAGCGGCAGCTGCGGGCAGGGGCGCACCATCAGGCACGTGTACTGCAAGACCAGCGACGGACGGGTGGTGCCCGAGTCCCAGTGCCAGGTGGAGACCAAGCCTCTGGCCATCCACCCCTGTGGGGACAAGAGCTGCCCCGCCCACTGGCTGGCCCAGGACTGGGAGCGGGTGAGTGTGCTGGAGCCCAAGCCCGGCTGCCTGCAGCCAAGTGGCTGGGAATGCAGATCGGGGAAAATGAGGAATTGATTGCAAATGACGGAGGCACGATTCGCTGTGAATTAATTTAACTACAAAAGGCCACACAGGTACAGAACACCTTACAATTTCCCAGATCGGAACTGGCCTTGTCTGGGCCCCCGACTTCCTGATATTTGGAAAACCAGGGCGGGGGTTGTTTAGCTGCGTGTGCTTTTGGCCTGAGCGGCCTTTTGTCAGGACCAATGTATCCTCCCTACCCAACCGTCATTGTCACCAACTTGTCATTTCAGACGACTTGCTCTCAGACAGATTGCTTTCGACCAATTGTTTGGGGCAGATCACTATTAACCAAATAATCTTAGGCCAAATTGTTTTCTGCTAAGTTGATTTTGGCCAAATTGTTGTTAGCAAATTTGTTCCAAAACAGATGGTTTTGTGCTAAATTGCTTTTGATCAAATCCATCTGGGGCCAAGTGGTTATCGAACAGAGAGTTCTCAGCCAGTTGCCATTGATCCGAGCATTTGCTCCTGATGGCCGTGGCCCACACTGTCGGCGCCAGCCGTTGTGGGCCGTGGGCCGTGCGTCTCGGCCGTCCGGCCACTGACCCGTCCCCCTGTCCCCGCCGCAGTGCAACACCACCTGTGGGCGTGGTGTGAAGAAGCGGCTGGTGCTGTGCATGGAGCTGGCCAACGGGAAGCCGCAGACGCGCAGCGGCCCCGAGTGCGGGCTCGCCAAGAAGCCCCCCGAGGAGAGCACGTGCTTCGAGAGGCCCTGCTTCAAGTGGTACACCAGCCCGTGGTCTGAGGTGAGCTCCCGCCTGGCCAGAGCGCCCATCCCGCCACGCACCTCCCCTCCAACGGCCTCTGTCGGGGCTGCCTGTCTGGGAAGCCCTCTCAGCTCCGCCAAGTTGGCGGGCGCGGGGCCACTCGCTCCGGAAACCGTCCCCGATCTCACCCTGGGCTCCCTGCAGCGCCCGTCCTGGGTGTGCTTTGGCCCAGTCGCTCTGGCCTTGAGTCGTGGCCTCCACGTTGTGCGTGTGGCTGCACGCGTGGCTGACGCGCCAGGGCAGGCAGACCCTGGGGGTCACTGGGGTCATCCAGGCTGAGTCAGACTCGGGCCTGGTCCCAGGGAGCCACAGCCAAGGCAGGGCCCCAGGGGAGGGCACAGGCCTGGCCCCTCGTGATTCCGTGGGCTCCTTAGCCCACAGACCCCGCGGCCTTCAGGATGTCGGGGGGGGGGGACAGGCTGAAGTCTCCCCTCTCTGCCGAGGGAGCAGGGCCCAAGTGGGCAGCCCAGGCCCAGCTTTTGCCCCTAGAGCGTCCTCTCTCCTCAGAGCGCCATGCGGAGGGCTCCTCTGCCCATTTCTCAGAGGAGGAGACTGAAGTTCAGAGATACCCGACCCGCTCAGGGTTCCACGGTTCCTGGGGGGAGGGACACTGGGGCCCAGGTCTGTCCGTTGTCCCAGGGGCCAAGCCCAGGTGGAGTGAGTGCTCTGCGGCGTGAAGGGAGGCCCCGACCAGCCTGCCCGGGGGCCAGGTGGGGAGCCCGAGGTGGGCAGGAGGCCTGGCTTCACCGGGCGGCCTGGCAGGCAGAGTGCAGCGGGCGGATCCGCCTCTCGGGCCCCTCCCTGTGCGGCCCTGGGGGCGTGAGCCCCCAGCCTTTCCTGCACCACAGCGGCAGGCGTGTCTGACGGCCGTAAGACACGCCCGTGTTCATAGCACGTGCCAGACACTCTGCATGGTCCCCTTGGCAGCAGTGCCGCCCGTGCCCTGCCGTCCCCACCTGGCAGGGCCGCGTGCTCCCGGGGCCACCTGGGGAGGTGCCAGGCTCCGTGAGCGCTACTGGAGAGCAAGGCTAGGGCCGCCATGGCCAGACCATGTGACCTGGGCCTCTGCCGCCTCTGGCCTCAGTTTCTTCATGCCCAGGGGACAAAACAGGGGCATCAGATGAGACTTGGAGCCCATTTGTGCACCGAGATGCTCCACAATGTGTCCAAGGCCCTGGCGCCCTGGGCCGCTGTGGCGGGTAGAGGCCAGATCCTAAAACCTAGGAGCTCAAAGGGAAGATCCCAAGAGTCTGCAAATGGGGCGAGGCTGGGGCCACAACAGTGCTGCCCCTACTCGGAATGTGGGGTCCAGGACCTCCTGCACCCACCCAGGCCCAGCGTTTGGGCCCCACCCTGTCCTCACCACACACGCCTGTGCGAGGTGACATCCTTCCGCTGTGGCCCACAAAAGGAACCCCCAGGTGAGGAGGGGCAGGCTGGGGTGCGGGGGCTCTCCGGGTAGAGCTAGGCCCACAGGAGGAGCAGGCGTCAGCCCGGAGCCAGTGGCAGAGACCCCGGCTGCTGGGAGCGCAGGTTGCCCCCTGGAACGGCCAAGCCCAGCTGGGAGGCGAGGGTGGGGGCCAGGAGCCCCGCTGAGAACTGTCCTTGGGAAGAGCGTCGGCTTCAGGTCGGGGGGGCCACTGCGGGGTGCACGTATCTCACTGGGTGCTGGGCTGGGGCAGGAGGGAGAGCCGTGAAGGGGAGGACCCCAAAAGGAAGGCCCGAGAGCTGCGACAGAGGCCCCTCTACTGCACGGTGGAGGAGGGGCTGGCACAGATGCGTGGAGGGCACGTGGGCCTCTGTCACTTTCGCCCCAGTTGGCAGCCCCCCTTCCCCTGTGGCTGTCCCCCACGGTGCTGGGGCACAGCAGTGGCTCGGCAAGTGTTTGTGCCTCTCACTACCCCACCCTGTCCACTCCCTGGGGACGGCGGGGCTGGCACCAGGGCCAGCGTGGTCTCCAGGGCACGTCCAGAGGTTCCCCGGGGCTCCTGCCAAAGGGCGACTGTCGTCTGGCCCCCAGACCGCGCCAGCTCGGGGCGGGCAGCCTTTCTGCCCAGTGGTAGTGGGTTCTCCCTGCGCCTTTGCAAACAGAACTGGAGAGGAGCCTGGCCTGGGACCCGCCACCCCACGCCTCAGGCAACTGAGGGCTTGGGTCCCAGACGTGCCTGGGTGATGTGGGGTCACTGTGTTGGGAGAGTGTGAGGGAGCCGCGCCCCTAGGATCTTGGCAGGACAGCAGGGTAGTTGGTGTCCTGGGAGGGCAGCGGGGTTTTCCAAGGGGAACATCTGGACGAGGGAGCCATGGTGGGGTGGTGGCCTTGGCAGACGCGTTTGATTGGCACACGACGAGCACTTTGCGTCACAGACCCAGCAAGCAGGAGCTGAGGGAGGAGGGGACGCCCTCACCGTGCACTGGGGAGACTGAGGCAGGCTGGGCAGGAACGAGAGTCAGTGTCTGGCCGCCTGCCTGTGCCCTCTCCTCCTGGTCGCCTACACTCGGCCCTGGAGCTGCAGGCTCTAGTTTCAGATGAGCTTCTGCACCTCCCTCGTCAGCCTGGGAGCCGGCAGGGTGGGGAAGGTCGGCGGGCAGGGTGGGGAAGGTCTCCTCCTCCTGCCCCAACCCCTGCCCCGTCCGGCGGGGGCCTGGCCCATGCCGCCCGTCTCCCCACAGTGCACCAAGACCTGCGGGGTGGGCGTGAGGATGCGGGACGTGAAGTGCTACCAGGGGACAGACATCGTCCGAGGCTGCGACCCGCTGGTGAAGCCCGTCAGCAGACAGGCCTGTGACCTGCAGCCCTGCCCCACGGAGCCCCCAGGTGAGGAGGGCTCAGCTGGCACGCCAGGCGCTGGCACATGGGGCCAGGGAGGGAGGGCTGGAGCGGGCCACCGGCCTAGGCACCTGGGAGATGGAGGAAGGTGCCGGGCCGAGGTGGGTGTGGGCGTGGCAGGCGATGGGTCCTGCTTTGGACGTGTCGCGCGGTGGGCGGGGGAGGCACCTGTGCAGTTCCTGGGGTGTTTGGACCCCTGGATGAGACCGGCAGCTCCTCCACATCCTGGCCCCTGGGGGTCGCCCCCTTGGTGCACAGATCAGATCACTTGACGGGATCTGGGACACCTCGGGGAGCAGAAGAGAGCCGGAACCGGAGCCCTGCCGGGTGGGAGGCCTGCTGCCCTGCACCTGGACACGGTGCATGGGTCCACCTGTCCACAGGGGCGCGGCCACCAGGGCCGTCCTCCGGCAGCGGAGGAGCAGAGGCGGAGGGTCCCGTGGGGTGCTCACCCCATCACCGCCTCCTGACATGCCTGCCCCTCCACGTTCCTCCCCCAGACGACAGCTGCCAGGACCAGCCGGGCACCAACTGCGCCCTGGCCATCAAGGTGAACCTGTGCGGCCACTGGTACTACAGCAAGGCGTGCTGCCACTCCTGCAGGCCCCCCCACTCCTAGGCCGGCGGCTGCAGCCCCTTGGAGACCCAGACAGAGCACCCCGCCCTAGGGCTGCTGCAGATTCGGGGGGGCCCCACAGACACCGTCCCGCAGGGCGCTTGTGCTGCGAGTGTGACACTGAGCCTCGGCTGTCGAACAGGGACACCCCACAGCCCACGGACCTGTGCGGGGGCCCCCAGCGCTCCTCCACCCCTCCCGGACAGAGCCGCCCCGCTGTGGGAACTCGCACATCTGCCCGTGTGGCTCCTGGGCTGCGGTTCCCGCTCCCTAGCCTAGCGGTCCCCAGCCAAGGGGCCCAGGCCCGAAGGCCAGCGGGGAGCGGGGGAGCCGTTTGCTCCGGGGGGGCGGGGCCTTCTCGAGGAGCCTGCAGGTGATCCCTACTGGGGAGCACCCTGGGGGGCAAGGAGGGCCCGGGCAGCCGGAGGCCGGGTGCCCTCCTTCCACAGGACCCTCTCACAGCTTGGCCTCCGCTCGGCTTCCCGTGTGCAGAGCCCGTGTGCGCGGCGGGGCCGCCACACGTCACGCCCCCGTGGGAGGCTGTTTCCACGGGCGTGTGGTTATGGACCGCGGGCTCCGCCCCCGTCGCCGTCAGTGCTGGTCTGTGTATGTTAATAAAGTGGTCGTATTTATGGCGGCATCGTGGGCTCTCTGGCTTCTGGCCCGAGGGGTGGGCGGCCTGGGGATCGGAAGCCCGAGTGTGGCTGAGCGGGTCTCTCCGGCTCGCCGAGGCCGCGGTGCAGGGCGGGCGGGCAGGGACTGTGGCACCTGCTCTGAGAGACAGCAGTCAGGAGAGCACGAAGGCGACGAGCGGGGCGCGTGGGAGCAGCACTTGTGGAACATCAGGATGTGGGGGCTGGAGTCTGCATGGAGCCGAAACCTCAAGTCCGTCATCCCTGGAGCAGGGGGCTCACCGGTGGCCTGGAGGGACGTGGCAGGAGCTGCTGCCCTCCACCCAGAGCCTGACCCAGGAGCTCCCCCTGGGGGTGTGCGGGAAGAATAGGAGGTGAGAGGTGACAGAGGCCCACCACTGCGTCCTGGGCCTCCCGGGGGCTCCGGACCTGGCCTCGCAGCTCGGAGCTGCTGTTCCGGCCGATCCCGCAGCAGGAGTGGCTCTTCCCAGGCCAGAGGGTGGGAAGAATGTAAACAGGAGGAACCAACAGCAGGCACAGAGCCTCGTGGAGGATGCAGTGGAGGGAGGATGTGGCACACCCGCCACGGGACAGCAAGTCCGTCCTGGGCCGAGCACGGCACAGGAAGTGTCCCCTTTGGGCACCGGCAGCAGGGAGGCGATGGCCACCACGTCGCTTCCTGACTGGGACCGGAGCGGGGTCCATCACACAGTTTTAGAAGGACGGCTTCCGAAGGACTTGGGGCTTTGGGGAAACTGAGGCAGCAGCCCCCCCCCCCCAGAAGTTCCTGTCTGTGCACATGTGCCTGCATGTGTGTGCCCCAAGGGGGCTGCAACCGGGCGACTGCCATCGAAGGTTCTTTTCGGTCCCCAAAGTCCAGGAGTTAGAGGCCGGCGGGACGGGCCTGCCGCAGGTCAGCGCCTGTGGCCCGGGCAGGGCTGAGCGCCCGTGGCCCAGGGCTCTGGGGCGTCTGCCCGCACCTCATCCCTGCCCGTCTTCACCTCTGCCCTCCCTGCTCCCCCTCCCCCCCACATTCTCTTACCGTATCTTCTCCTCCCCGACCCTCCTTTCTGCCAACACTTATTGTGCGCTTGCTGTATGCCGGGCTCTGTGCCAAGCACTGCGTCGGCACTGCCTGGTTTCATCTTCCTAAAAGCCCCTTGAAGCCGATGTCATCACCATCGTGTGGATGTTAAAACTGAGGCCCAGAGAGGGTCGGTCACATGTCCCAGGTGACCCAGCTGGTCACCCACAACCCGCTCTCCAGGAGTCCACGCTGGGGGGATCCTAATCTTGGAAGATCGACACAGACGCCCCCGGAACACGAAGGCCCTCGAGGCATGCCGCGGTGCGCCCTCGCCCGACAGCCCTGGCCCTGCCACCCGGCCCGAGAGGGAAGGCGGACTCTGCCCAGCACCAGGCAGGACATGGCACCTCCCCGGAAGCTCCAGAGGGGTCTGGACCGGCCTACGCCCCGCAGACTGAAGACTCAGCAGGTAAGTGGGAGACAAGTTTTATTGGCTTTCGCTTTCCTTGGGGAGCCGGCAGCTCCCTGGCAGGTCCCCATGGTGGAGCGGAGTGGGCTAGGATGGATGGAGCTTATTTCGTTTCAAAGAGGCCTATGTGTCTACACAGAGAGGATGGAGAGCAGAAAGGAAGTGGGAAATGGAGACAGAACAGCCGCAGGAAGTGCCGCCTCCGGGCCCCCCCCCCGCAAGCTGATGCATCAGAAGCAAACTCCACTGGGAGGGGACTGGACAACGGAAGCCGCAGAAGGGGCTCAGGGGCCTTGGGACGAATCCATTAGCGTGTCCCGACCAGGCAGGAGGAGAAAAGGAAGAAGAGGAGGAAAAAATTGAGACTGCCAAAAATAGCAAGTCTTCACCTGCACCTCGGCGCTCTGGGGGCAGAGTGAGAAGCGTCCTGCTCCGGCCGCCCCCGGCTCACGGAGGCCGCCGGCCCCAAAGTGTGTCTCTCAGGAAGGTGCCTCCCCTGGCAGAAGGGCTGTCCCGCTGGGGCTCCGTGGCCCGGCTGCCAGGAAGAAACAGTGCCTCCCTCTGGGTGGGGGAGCCGCGTTGCCCACGCTGGTGCCCGGGTCTGGGCATGTCTCTCCGTGCCACTCACCGGGCCCCGTTTCCTTAGACGGATGGAGCTGGGGATCGGTCAGAATTGCCTGGGAGCCCATGGCCCAGCTGGAGCTGGCGGAGAGTGGCCCAGATGGGGTCTTCGCGCTGGCTGCCTGGGGCCCACTGGGTCGGCCCGGGCGGGGCCGGCCTGGCTCCCAGATCCTGCCGAGGAGCCGGAGCAGAGGGTGGCCTCATTCCGGATGAGAGAGAGGGCTCAAAGGGCTGAGACCAGCCCCTCACCACACAGGGTGGGGAGACTGCGGCCCGGGGGCAGCTGGGGGGGTCCTTAACCCTGGGCCGTGGCTCTGCCAACCCCACCCAGCCTCAGGCTGTCTCTTGGGGGTCCTGCCTGTCAGCCACGGTTGGGGCTGAGGACCAGGCAACGGCCTTTCAGCCTCTTCCGGGTCCCTGTGCCTCCTTTCACCAAAAAGCCAGTCAGGCCGAGCATCCCAGAGACCTGCTGCCCCGGAACGCGCCCTCCTGGGGGGACCCGTCCATCTGCGGGGGGCTCAGCACAGCCAGCGTCTCAGCCCTGGAAGCTGGGAGCGTGTGTGTGTGTGTGTGTGTGTGTGTGTGTGTGTGTGTGTGGGCGGGCAGGGGGTGGATTGAGAGGGAGGGAGGGAGAGATGGGGGGAGATGGAGGGAGATAGGGAGGGAGAGGAGGGGAAGAGGGAGAGGGAGAGAGAAGGGGAGGGAGGGGGCTCACGAGTTTGGGACCGGGGGAGGGTGCGAATCCTTGGTGCAGGGTCCCAGGGAAGGCGGGGGCTGCAGGGCCCCTAGCGTCGCTGAGGCCGCCCCGCCCTGGAGCAGGAGGGCCGAATCCCAGGGCAGGGGTGTCACACCAAGGCCACCCAGCGATGGCCGAGTGCTGGGGCTGGGACAGGGGCCATACTCCCACGGCCCCCGCACGGTGGCCCGGTGCCTGAGCGCCCTGGTCCACGCCCAGCCCCCTCCCTCTGCAGCGTCACCTGGCCCTGTGTCCCTCCCAGCCCCTGGCCCCAGCTGGCCCTACCCCTGCAGGACAGGCCCACACCCAGTGAGCCTTATCCCTGTGGGGGGCCTGGGGGCTCCCAAGCCTGGGCCAGCCTGAGGACAGGGCAGCAGGCGCCGGCCCAGGGCCGGGCTGGTGCGCCACGGAACCCCGCCATGGTCTCAGGGTGCCCTGGCGCCGTGGGTGCCGGTCACACGTCGGTGCTGACGCTGCGGCTCCGCGAGAAGGCCTCCCGCATGGCCGAGAGGCGGTTGGGGTTCAGCGCCTGCAGGCCTCCGAAGCCCCCGGGGGGCGGCCCCACGTCCTCCTGGCTGAGGCTCTTGTAGACCACGCGCTCGCCGCCGTTGAGCACGTCGTCCTCGTCCTCCGGCTCCTGCAGGAAGAAGGCGGGCGGCTCCCGGTAGGAGCAGCTGCGGCAGAGGGCGCGGGCCTGCGGGGACCGCTGGCTGAAGGAGGTGGAGGCGGCCGGGTAGAGCGCGGGGCCGTTGGTCAGCACCAGGTTGCGGTTGGAGTGCAGCGGCGGCAGGTGCGAGTGCGCCTCGAAGTCCGGCTCCTCCTCGTCCTCCTCGGACCCGTCCTTCTTGCAGCAGTAGTACTGCGGGCGGGTGGGGGCTGGTGACCGCGCTGCCCGCCACAGCCCGCACCGCGCCCAGCCCAGACACCTGCTCGTGTGCACTGCGCGGGGCCTCGCCCGCCAGGCAGTGCTGAGCACGTCGCCATCATGCTCACCCCCACTCCATTTTGCAGGTGGGGAGACTGAGGCACAGAAGGACAGGTAGCCGAAGCCGCAGAGCCAGGTTTGTGGGTGCTGGCGGTGCAGCCGGCCCTGCACGGAGGGCTCCCCCGCCCTCCCAGGAAGACGCGGGTTGGGGCGGCCTGTGCCCTCGGCCACTCCCTTCTCCTCTCGGGCGAAGGCGTCCGGCGGCCTGGGCTCTGCCAGGGCTGTCTGCCTGCGCCTCTCCATCCCCCCAGGGCGTCACCTGGCCCCGTGTCCCTCCCACCCCCTGGCCCCAGCCCCCAGGCTCCCGCCCAGGGCCCCGGGGAGTACCTGGAGCCGGCAGTAGCACAGGACCGCGATGATGCAGAGCAGAATCACAGTCGCCAAGATGCCGCCGGTGATCACCACCGTCCCGGCTGTCATCCGCCCCCTTCTCCATCAACGGCCTGCAACACACGCCACAGCCACAGCGTCACCGCTCCTCATCACGAGGCCACCACGCTACTTTAGGGAACTGAAAGGACAAGTCTCAGGAACAGGAGACACCCCAGGACGACATGGGCAGGAGATCGGCCCCCCTCTGCCCCGCCGGCCTCTTCCCCCTCCTGGCCTCAGTTTCCACGTCCGTAGAGGTGGACACTGAGAGCGTGGGGTCCCTCGACACTCTCACGGCGCGTGCCTCAGCGCTGCGTGGCGCACTGGCGGGGCGTGGCACCCTTCCAGCCTGGCTCTGCAGGCTCACACATTTTCACATTTACCCAAATGCAGTCAAGCTGAACATACGGTTTTCAACCCGCTTCCCTGCATTTGCTCCGAACGGGGCTACCCTTATTTTTCCATATCATTCAGTCTTCCTCTGCAACATAATTTCTAACCATATTCCACTGTTTAATGTAAGCGATGCCATTGCTTTTAAACTTTTAATTGTGGTAGAGTACACATAACGTTTCCCTTCTGAACAGTTTTTGAGGGCACGGTTGAGTAGCGTGACGTCTACCCGCACTGCCATGCAGCGGATCTCCAGACTTCTCCGTCTTGCAGAATGGAAAACCGATGCCCTTTTGTATCTGGGGGGCTCACGTTAAGAAATACGTCCAGCGATGTTTTAATAGGCAGCTTTGTAGCTAAGGAATGCGAGCCGCTTGAATTACAGAACCCACTTCAGCGAAGTTCTTAGAAGGGGGGTTCGAGGCCCGAGGCGATGCGCCCTGCAAACTCTGCCGCAGGAACGCCCAGCACACGCAACACGGCGGGGCTGGGACAGCGCTGCCCGCGGCCGCTGTCCCGCCGTGTGCGGAGGAGAAGTGCCCTGACCTGCAGGAGTAGCTGCGTTTCCTGCTGGGGGTGTTCCCGCCACCGCCTGCCTCAGCTGGAGCGGGGTCGCACGACCGGCTGACGGAATTCCGGAACGTGCACGGTCGCCGCTCACGGCCAGCGGGAGCCGGTTCCTTCCAGTCGCCTTGCTTCCCCGGCCTGGCCCTTTCTCGCAGGGCCTGGGTGCAGGGGTGGCGTCTCGGAGCATCCCGGTTCACCCACAAATGCTGCCGCGCAACGTCTCACTGGCGAGGACGTCAAACAATGCCCGGTCTGCGTTTGGCGTTCTCCCGTCACATCCCAAAATGCCTTTTTATGTTTGGTGCGTCCAAATCAGGGTCCGGGTGCGTCTGGCCCCTTTTGTTCTAGAACCGTTCAGCTCCTGCTCACTCTCGTCTGCCCACTCCCAACCCACTTTGCGTTGTCCGTCGAAGAAGCCGGTTCGTCTGATGGAGCTGGCTGGGTTCCCCATGTGGCGTCTGACGTGTTCCTTTCTCGCTGTCTCGCGTCACTCCCAGGGGCCTGATGTCTGCTTGTCCTTCTTGTGACGTCGCGATGGCCCACTGGGCTCAGCCACTCCCGGCAGTGTCCCCATTGGCCTCCCGTGGAACCCCTGCGGCGATCCTCGCGCTCTGCCTGGATCCCTACGTCTGGGGACTCACAAATAGCGACTTTCCAAATGCGGTCATCTCTTCCACATGTATGGGCTCCGGTTCTTTTTAAAAAAAAACAAACCCTAAAGAACTTTCCCTTATGCCCTACGTGGTTACCCTGAAACGCAGTCTGCAGAGGGAGGCGCAGATGCTCAGTCCCGGCGCTGCCCATCTGCAGGGAGGCTGGTGCCCTGCGGGTTTGCGGGTGTTTTATAGCCTCCCTGTGACCTCGCTGGTTTTGTAAAAATATATTCGGTGTGTTTCAAGCCGCTGCTGTCGTTATTCACGGGGTGGTGGGCGTGGAGCCGCCGCGCTGCCTCCTGCGTCACTCGGTGACGCCCGCCACGCCTCGCCGGGGCTCTGCCGGGGGGAAGCGGTTCATCGAGAACACGGCGTGGCGCGAAGGCGCGCGTCGCTCCTGCTCTCCGCGGCTCTGGGCGTTTTCAGCGACGGGGCAAGACTTTCTCATTTTTTAGAAAGAGAAAAAATGAAACATGAGATCATCCCAATATTTCCGCTTAAAATTAGAGATTACAGGGTTTTTACTGGTTAAAATTTGATGTCTATGTAACTTTTACAGTGAAAATCTTGTTCCAAATATTATTAACCTATTTACTCTTTCCAATTACATATAATAATTTTGAAATAACTTCACCAATATCTTTACCAACAAGTCTACTGGGAGGAATTTGGTTTTCCTTTAACCTTTTTGTTCTTATCCTTTAGGATGTGTTGTAAAAAAACTGTTTCAGAGTCATTTGAAACAATTCTTAGTGTGATTATTTCCACCAACTTGATACTCAGGTTTATTTTTCGGTTTGTTTCTAATTTTAAAAATTTATTTAATTTTGCTTTTTAATTGTAGAAAACATTTGGTTCCGAAGTCGAAGCATCAAAGCAGCTGCGTTCAGGGGGGTCTTGCTTCCACCCCAGAGGTAACAGTCCTACTTCGCTCTGGGGCTCACCCTTCCTTCGCCTCTTTCTAAAAATACAAGCAGAGATGTTTCCCTTCCCCATTTAAAAGGAAGTGGCGTCTATGTGTACTTCCTTCCCTTCATTCAGCAGCCGGCCCCTCGATGTGACAGCTGTCCTCGAGGGTCCCTCCAGAGCGGGCGTGGGGCGCGCAGGCCCCTGTCCCGGCTGCCTGTGCCCCGCCGTGCGGGGCGGCCCCAGCGCATCCGCCGGGCCCTGGGCGGCAGCGCGTGGTTCCCACTTTGCGCCATCACAGAAATGTGCGAGGGAGAGCTTTGTGGCATGAACATTTCTGAAGTTTTTGGTAAATGCTGCCAAGTACTTGCTGGAATTTGGGCCAATTTATCCCCTTCCTGGAATGTGTGAGAATAACTGACAGATGGGGTTTTTGTTTGGAAACTCAAGGTCTGGGTGGTGGGCGGGTGGGGACAGGGGGTGCGGGGAGGGATGTGGGGGAGGTCGCAGGCATCGTGGTGTCCCTGCAGACTACGCAGCAAGAGTTGGGGGGGGTCGAAGGCCCGGAGGGCCCTGGCCAGGCAGGGATGACAGGTGGAGGGCGTGGGCCTGTGCCGACACGGGGCCTGCCCAGGCAGCTCTGGCCGGGCCGGGAGTGGACCCGGACCCCACGAAGCAGATGGAGCGGAGATCCACACAGACCCAGCGACGAGACATCAGGCAGAGACAGACACAGACGGAGAAGGAGCCCCAGGACCCCACTTTCCTGCACACCTCGGCCTCCCGGGTGGCTGGGGCCAGCTGGCCCGCCCGGCCCTGCTGAGGGTACAGGCTGACCCCAGGCAGGCCCCACGGGGCCGGATGTGCGGAGGGGCTGGTGAGGGGTCCAGAGGCTTCCACACTCTTCTCCAAGGACAGGCAAAGCCAAGCAGGTGGCTGCTGGAGCGTGGGGCTCTTCCTCTCGGAGGCCCGCAGGGACACTGCTGGAGCCCCAGGAACGCGGACAGCCTGGGGAGGGCAGGGCCACCCCCGGGTGACAGAGCCAAGCCCCAGCAACCCCCGGGGCAAGGCTGGTCTGTGTGCGCCATCCTGGCAAACGGGCCCCCTCACAGCTGAAAGCTACGACATCAGGGCCACGCGCCCCACGGCCTGCACGGGAGCCCAGGGCCGCCTGGGCACAGAAGCCATTGCCGACCCCATCATCCCATCCGGCACCTGCCAGGCGGGTCCTCCGGAGACCCCACAGCAGCCCCAGGGTGTGCGGCCTACTTTGAAGACGCGCACACCACGGCCTGGCAAGGAGACGCAGCTGCCCGGGCCCAGCGCAGTGAGGTGAGGGGTCGGGTCAGGGCCGCACCTGCTGCTGCCATCCCTGAGTGCTGCCCAGCCCCCGCCCCCGTGTGAGCAGCCCGAGTCCTGCGGCACTCTTAGGGGAGCACACTCTGTGCCGGTTTTGGGGTGTAGGCAGTCCCGGCCTTCTGCTCTGTGTCCTGCCCTGAGCCAAGAAGCCGGAAGCCACCTCTGCCCCACGTCTGCTGCCCCTGTGTCTACAGCTGGCCGGGTCAGCATGGACGTGTGCCCGGCTGGGCCAGCTTCTCCCCTGGGACATAGAATCGGGACCTGGGACACTGGCTGGTCCCTGTGGTCACCTGACCTTGTGGGCAGGGGTGGCATTTTCAGCCATGTGTGTGGAGAGCCAAACAGAGCCGGTCCAGGAGGGAGAGAGGAGACCAGCGCAGGGAGGCCCAGGCTGCGGTCCGCACACCCCGGCCCAACCCCCACAGTGCACTCAGACGGGACCCCGATGGCCAGCCCAGCTCCGCGTCTGGCTGGCTGCAGGGCGGGCCTCAGTGTCCCTGTGTCTCTGTGACGTGCGGAGGACGAGGGCTCTGTGGTTGGCGGGGGCTGTGCTCTGGGTCCAAGTCCTGTCTCAGGGCCCTGAGGGAGCAGCCACACTCCTGGAGTCTCTCCGCCAGGCCCGAGACACAGACGGCCCGGCGCTCCGCCTGGCACTGCAGGCCCCAGGCCGCGGCTCCTCCGGGCCCAGGTCCCCTCTGGCGGCCGGCAGCCTGGCAGCATGACGGGAAGGGTGCTGCCTCGGGCCAGGCGCCCAGGGCTGTCAGCAGCCACCCTCCGACACCCGGGCCCGTCCAGCTGGAGCGTCTCAGCCTCACTCTGCAGATACGCACACGCCGAGGAGCAGCAACGCCTGCGGCGGGCGCCAGGTCCCGGCCAGGCCCGGCCGACAGACGCACACGCCGCTGGCAACTCCGCCAGCACCGGCCCCACATCAGTCCACAGTTAACTCCCAACAGCCCCGAGAGCAACACAGCCCCCGGGACCCCACCCTCCTCGTCCCCACACTTGGGGCGCCCCCGCCTCCTGGCCTACCCTGGCGTCAGAGCCAAGCAGGTGCCTTCCTCCTCCAGGAAGACTTCCTGAACTTCTCTAACGCATGTCACGGAACCTCGTAATGCCAGTGCCGGAGGGACCCCCTCCCCCCACCACTTCACAGGGAAGAGCAGGATGCCGACCCGGGGCTGTTTTCCCTC